TTCATCGGTGTCCCAATGTAGCCATGGCGTTTAGAAATCCCCACCGAGCTTGTACTTAGAGCAAGAAGTGTTCTTCCTTTCTTCCAAAATTTTCCATGGCGCATGAAGAGCACACCTCCATCGCTCCAATAAAATCTGAAACCATCTTCTAAGGGGAGAAAAAAACTTAATCAAAAACTAGATCTGGCCATAATTGGTCTAGATCTAAAAATTTAGAACACAAAGAAGAAATTTACTAAGTGCGTGCTGATCGTGGAGCAAAGAAGGTCGGCGAATAGATGAGGAATTCAAACCCCAAAATTTTGCTCGAATTGTGGTGGCGCAGATTCCCCTCTTTCAGGGTTGAAAATGGGGAAGGAATTAGGCATTCGAACTTTCTGTACAAAAATTATAAAACACCTCTTCTAGTCCTTTTATGTCAAAAGAAAAAGAAAAATGGCGCCCCATTTTTGGGGTTAAAACCAAATTCCCTCTTTAACATTTCGTGTCCCTCCCTATTGTAGTTTCACTTTTGTTTTATTTTTTTAGAAAAATATTGACTATTGTTTTTTTAACACTTTTTTTTAATTAGTTATATAAAATGGATTTATTTAATACATCATTTTATTTTTGGAAGTGATATATTTGGATAATAAATTGAATCCTCATGAACAAAATACACAAAACTTATAAATTTGAAATATAATTTTAATTTCATATTTTGTGTAGATATTTGAATCTCAATAATGGAAAGATATAACACATTTTTATTGTGAGTTCGTAATGTTGTTATATTCTATCTATACATTTTGAAAAACATAACATGACAATCAAATTAATGTTGAACTAATGCATAACGATTTAAAAGACATGTAGATATATGTTACTTTCTCTATTATAGAAAAATAGTTCACGCTGAATTCTCAAATTTGTAATAAAACTAATACAAATCTCAAAATCTAATTTGGATAAAGGGAGCATAATAAATAGTAAAACAGATAGCCACGTATTAACGATAACTATTATGCAGTAAGACATTACTAATAAATGTCATAAAAGCACAAACATACATAATAAGTAATTAACGCTTCACAGGTATGTTATGGTCTTATATCGTTACTATTTATATAATATACTAAGTAGCAATACAAACATGACAAATTTAATTGAATGTAAACAATTTCTGTCAAATTTGACCATGAAACAAATTAGAACATGTTGTTACCAATGTTACGAATCACAATTACTGTTTATGCCATGTTGACAGGGTTCAAGCACAATCCGTTTAGTTATACATCTCAATCTTATTAACAAACTGTGCATCTAATAATCGAAAACGAAAAAAGATAGGTACTGTTTAAAATATCACGGGACAAAATGATAATCATTAAAGTGAAATACTAGCATATTTTAAAATTTTATGAACATGATAGTAATAACTAAACAAGCCGTATATGGGGTAGTTTTGTAAATTTTAGGGTGTCATAGTAGCATTGTCAAAAACTTAAATAACAAAAAAAAAATTAAAAAAATTACAAGACCATAATTGATAGGACACTTTAAGCGTCCAATATAACACTTAATAGGACGCATGTAAACGTCCCAGCCTATATTGGGACACATTTTTGATGGGATGCATTTATGCATCCCCTTAGATATTTATAATGAGACACTTAGACTCAAGTGCCTCAATAAATTTTTTTGAGACACTTGACATAAAAGTGTCCCAAAATATGTGTCCTATTAGGGGGGGTTTTGTTGTAGTGTCAATGCCCAATTATTCTCATTTCAATTCGTCACTCATAATTACCCTGAAAAATAATCTATCCAACACATAATGGTGAAATTGCATATGTTATATATTTAATCAATAATGATTATAAATGGGGTGAACAAAAACTAATAACATTAAATTATGCAAAGCCATGACACGTCTAGATAAAAAGAGAAAAAGATATACATTATAAGCATATTTTCGATTGGAATAAAATGTCCAAATGGTCCCTTACATTTGAGACTACTTGAATTTACGTCCCTAACATTCACATTTCAATATCGTAGTCTCAAACATTATGTTTTCAAACTTTTTTGGTCCCATTTCACTGTTTCCGGCTGTTGACATACCGGAATCAGGGGTATTTTTGTCTTTTAATTTAATTTTAATTTCTATTAAAATTTAAATCATTAAAAATATTTTAAAATTCAGATTTTATTATTTAATTGTTCAAATATTATTTATTAATTAAAAATATTATTATAAAATTTTAAAATTTATATTATTTTCAAAATTAATTTTTTCATTTATCATTTACTTTAAGTCAAAGTAAATAGTAATTATGTTGTGCTTTTAACCTGTGGCCTACTGTAATTTAAAAAATTTACTGAGTTACAGTAAATAATTCAAAATTCAATTTCCTTTTAAAAAAAAAAGAAAAAGCAAAACCATTTTTTTTTACTCTGACCGTTAAATGAAACCCTAAATGGTAATTATACACTTTTAACCTTGGACCAACTATAACGTAAAAAATTTACCGAGTTACAGTAAATAATTCAAAATTCAATTTTTTTTTGAAAAAAAAAGAAAAAGCAAAACCAAGATTTTTTTTTTACTTTGACCACTACAGTTGAATTTTAAATTATTTACTGTAACACGGTAAATTTTTTAAGTTACATTGGATATAAGGTTAAAAGTGCAACATAAGAATTTACTATAGCGGTCAATTATTTATAGTGGGTCCAAAGTTAAAAAAATAACGTAGCGGTCAGAGTAAAAAGAATCTTGGTTTTCCTTTTTCTTTTAGAAAAAAAAATTGAATTTTGAATTATTTACTGTGACTCGGTAAATTTTTTTACGTTACAGTCGGTCTAAGGTTAAAAGTGCAACATTATTACCATTTACGGTTTACTATAGCGGTCAGAGTTAAAAAAATCTTGGTTTTTCTTTTTCTTTTTTTTTTAAAAAAAATTAAATTTTGAATTATTTACTATAATTCGGTAAATTTTTTAAGTTACAATGAGCCCAAGGTTGAAAGTGTATTATAATTACTATTTAGGGTTTACTATAGCGGTCAAAGTAAAAAAAACTCTTTGTTTTGCTTTTTCTTTTTTTTAAAAAAAAATAAAAAGTGTAACATAATTGAATTTTGTTAAAAAAAATTGAATTTTTTTTTAAAAAATTCAATTTTAAAAAAATTGAAAAAGCGGTCAATTTTTTTTAAAAAAAAAATTGAATTTTGAATTATTTACTGTAACTCGGTAAATTTTTTAAGTTACAGTGGGTCTAAGGTTAAAAGTGTAACATAATTACCATTTAGGGTTTACTGTAGCAGTCAAGTAGAAAAAACTTAGTTTTGCTTTTTTTTTTAAAAAAAAAATTGAATTTGAATTATTTATTGTAACTTGATTAAATTTTGTAAGTTAGAGTGGACTCAAAGTTAAAAGTGCAACACAATTACCATTTACTGTGTATTTAAAATAAATAGTAAATGAAAAAATTAATTTAGAAAATAATGATAATTTTAAAATTGTATAATAATATTTTTAATTAATAAATAATATTTTAACAATTAAATAATGAAATTTTAATTTTAAAATATTTTCAATGATTTAAATTTTAACAAAAATTCAAATTAAATTAAAAGACAAAAATACCCCTGATTCCGGCATGTCAACGGCCGGAAACAGTGAAATGGGACTAAAAAAGTGCGAAAACATAATGTTTGGGACTACGATATTGAAATGTTAATGTAAGGGACGTAAATTCAAGTGGGCCCAAATGTAAGGGACCATTTGGACATTTTAGTCTATATAGCTCAGAATCATAGTTGTTTCATCGTAATTAAGAGAATTAATACTTCATGCCATATGTATCTTGAAATTCCAGTGTGCGCATGCGATTTTCATCGATAAGTCTTTTAACATTAATGAAAATTGGTGATCTGCAGCATGATATAAAAATAATCAATTAAATGATTCATTATATTTTTTTTCCATATGGCATAATGGTATTAAAAGTTAACGTTATAACGATATAACAAAACCCAGAGATCAAGAGTGAGAAAGTTTTCCAAAATGAGAAACGAATAAAGGTCTTTATCAGAGATAAAGAGTATAAGTAGAACATATTGAGAAATTAAAAATAATTATATGGAGGAAAAATTTATACAAAGAATAAGAATATATGACAAAAACAAGATAATAACGAAAAATGAAATAATTATTATAATTGACAAAAACAAAATAATAACGAAAAATGAAATAATTATTATAATTTTTTTAAGAAATGAAACTTTAGAGAGAGGTTATTAAGTTATGCGAAAAATAAAGGTGAAAACTACGAAACAAAGAAAAAAAGGAAGCAAACACTATATCATAATAAGAATACTTTACGAGTAAATTTCTAAAAAAGGTTGTAAAATATACATAAAGAGAGAGATGGAGAATAAAGATAAATTTATAAAAAAAAATAATGAAAAATTGTATGCTAGAGGGAAAATTTACAAGACATGACATTGATATAAATATTTAGAGAAATCACTAAGAAAAATTAAGAGAATTTTTTAAAAAATTATAACGCCATAAATCAACAAAATGAAAAAATTAGACAAAAGTTAAATTGGATGATTTCGAATATTTAAAATTATTTCAAATGTATGTAAATAAAAAAATACATTGACAATAAAAATTACACCAATAGTAATTTTCATCATTAATATTATTTTTGTTACATATTTTAATATATCGCAAATGTCATATAATCGCAAAATCATTAAACACGTATATATTCTAAACAACCCGCACAACGTGCAGGTAAATACTAGTATATATAATAGGAGGCAAATTATCTGGTACACCCAGGGTACCGTGTCCCCCCATGTGCGTGTACCTCACTCTCTTACAATAGCGTTAGTCCGCCATTATAATTCAGCTTTCTTTTTCTTTTTTTTTAAATGCGGGGTTATATAAATAACCAAATTCATTCAAATTTGTAAAACTTTGTGATAGAGTATTATTGATGGGTGATGGCCGGCGGCGATCGAGGCGTTGAGGCGGCAATGGGAGTCGACGATCGAGGCGTTGAGGTGGACACGGCCAGTGGCGATCGAGTCGTTGAGACGGCGATGGCGTTCAGCGATCGAGGAAAGGCTCCGATTCCACCAGAGTGGCGAAACGGTGATTGGATCGACGATATCCTTAGTTCAGATCGAGTGATGAGTTATGTCGTTGATGATTCCGGCTTGATGAATGCGGAATGTAGTGGTAGAAAATCCATCGAACAATCTTACTGTGCCATCAAATCAACGCAAGGTCACAGTTCTATTGTAGATCAGCTGGAATCAGGTTTGTGTAGGTTTCGGAGTGTACTATAATCAATCAAGTTTTTTCACAGTTCTGTTTTTGTTAATGTTGTATGAAGTGGATAAGCAGTTATGTTGTGTTGGATATCCAAAATGTTTGTACTGGATATCCACTTTGTTTGTGCTGGATATCCAACGTATGTGTACTGGTTATCCAACTGATTAACATGCGTATCCAAATTTTATTTGCTGGATATCCACCTGATTTGTACTGGATATCCAACATTTTTGAGTTGTTTATATATAATTGGTGTATCAAAGATTTTTTTTAAAATTTTTTGTTTTTTTGTTTGTCTCATTTTTTGTAAAAGATAAACATATCAATGAGTTGGGAGATGATGTGATGCGGGATGATGCTTTGCGCATGGAAGTTACATCTGCTCTGAAGGGTAGATTTTCTAACTTGTTTATATGTGTTTAAATTTTTTTTGATTTGTTTATCCATTGTGTTATACTGATTATCCGACTGCATGGTAATGGTTATCCAACCATCTCTTTTGTTTTTCTCAGAATGTGGAGAAGATAATAGTGGCAATGAATTGGGAGTTGATAATGTGATGGTGGAGGAGGATGCCTTGCACAAGGAAATTTCATCTGTGACGAAGAATAATGATTTGGCTGTTTTTACTTTAGTTGGCAAGACTGCAAGAAGTGAGAAAGAAGCTTATGATTTGTATAATGATCATGCCCGATTGATTGGTTTTAGTGTGAGAGTGGGAAAACAGAAGTTTAGAGGTAAGACTGATAAAGTTAGGATGAAGAAATTATGTTGTAACCGCGAAGGATACAAGAGATCCGGTGGAAATGGTGATGTGTGCCATGAGAGGATTAATTTTCCGTGTGGGTGTCCAGCTTATATCCATTTTACTGTTGACAAAGATGGCTTGTGGACCTGTACAAAGCATCTGGTTGATCACAATCATGATCTTGTGCCGAATGAAATGATTGGACTTCTTCGATCTCAACGTGAAATAGATGAAAATGATATGAAGATAATCAGAGACATGAGAAGGAGTGGCATCCCTTTGGTTGACGCATATAAGTTTGTGGCAAAATTACACGGGGGAAGTCCGAACATGAAGTATACTTTGAGAGATGCCTACAATTATGAGCGTCCTGGTGTTGGATTTGAAGGTGGCGATTGTAATCAGCTCATGAAGATTTTTTGGGATAGGAAGGAAACTGAAGAAGATTTCTTCTTTGATTTTGACTGTGATGAGCAGGGTAGGCTGTGTATTTTCTTCTGGAGGGATGGCAGAATGCGAAAGGATTATGATTTGTTTGGGAACTTGCTTGTGTTTGATACAACGTATCGAACAAACAGATATGGAATGATCTGTGCTCCGTTTGTGGGTATAGATAATCATAACAAGAATGTCATGTTTGGTTGTGGTTTTGTGTTAAACGAGAAAGAACCCTCTTTTGATTGGTTGTTCAAGCAGTTTTTGAAATCAATGGGAGATAAGCAGCCACAAACCATAATGACAGATCAAGCACCTTCCATTGCTGCAAGTATTCGGACATGTTTTCCAAGTTCTCGGCATCGTCTCTGTGTATGGCACATAGGTGAAAATTCAAGAAAGCGAATTGGTCATTTAAGAAACAAGCCAGATTTTGTTAAGAACTTTAATTATCTGATAAAATACACTTCAACAGAAATTGAGTTCGAGGTATTATGGAGGAAGTCAGTTTGTCAATTTTTATTATTATTTTGATCATTTCTATGATTAAGAGTGTCTCTTATTTTTTTTGTTGTGTGGGTATGTGTTAGTGGTTATGCATGATCTTCCTGATGATTACTTATAGGTAGGTAAGTTATACAACTATGATGGATAACTAGCAAAATAATGTATGGACAAGCAGCCGCATAGAAGCACAACTAAAAAAAAGGCATGGATAACTAGTTTACAGCTTGTGGATAACCACCCATAATGGCCGGATGACTAGTTTACAGATTCTGGATAACCAGCAATTATGGCTGGATAACTAGTTTTTATCCATTCTAGATAACCACCGGTTATGGCTAGATAACTAGTTTACACATTATGGATAACCAGCAATTATCTCTGGATAATCACCCGTTATGGCTGGATAACTAGTAGAAAGCCTTTGTTGGCTGGATAACTATATGGATAATCTAACTATTTTTCTTTTTATGCATGTGTTTTATATTGTTGTGCACAGATTATTGGATGTGTATGATTGTCATGATGACAAATGGCTCAATGGTATTTATGATGTGAGGCATATGTGGTGCCCTGCATTTAGCAAAGATGTTTTTTCTGGTGGTACCTTATCTTCATAGAGGAGCGAGTCAACAAATAATGCAATTTGTCGTAAAATGAAGGCCACATCATCGATTTGTGATTTCCATGGAATTTTCTCTAATGTTGTACACTGTTGGCGGGTAGCTATGAGGGGTGAAGATCTACGCTGTAGCCAGGGAAACATCGATTCATATCTTCTTGGTGACCCTTTCCTGGAAAGCATTCGCAGAGTGTACACAGTTGAAGCATTCCGGGAGGTTCAGCAGTTGCACAAAGATGGGATGTTGTGCAGGCAGGAGCAGTTAGAGGTCTCAAATGATGGCAATATTGTGACGTACAATGTTGGCCGGTTTGGGATAGAGCACTTTAAGCATGTGGTTGTACATGGCACTAGGTTATAGAGATTGTCATGCACGTGTAGGTACTACTCTGAGGCGGGCATGCTTTGTTGCCACATTCTTCGAATCTGTCATGTAACCTCTGTTGATGAGTTTCCTAAAGATTATATATGTATGAGATGGACAAAAGGTTATAGTGCCAGGTCAAGCATAGCTAATGAGAGAGATGGAAAAGCTGCTGGGCCATTGCTGTGGAAGGCACTAATTATGAGACGATTTTCAGACTTGGTATATGCAAGTGAATATAACAAAGATGCAAAGAAATGTTGTGACGAGGCGGTTGACAGGCTTAAAGAAGAACTCGGCAGTTTCATTGGTTCAAATAATAATGATGAGTCTGTAGACAATGATGGTGTTATAAAGAATCTGGCTGTAAAGAGGAAGAAGTTTGGTCCGTGAACGAACGTCCTAAAAGCATTGTTGAGAAGGCATGTAACAAAGTCAGAGGCAGGAAAACAAATGCAAGAATTGCTGCTGACCGAACAAGAGCTTCAGTTGCATCAGACCTGCATTATCAAAGCATGCCATTTCCTTATCCCAAGGGAGCTGCTCAAGATTATTCAGGCTCAGGAAGTTTTACTGCTGTGAATGCTTCCCATCAAAGCATGCCATCTTTGAACGTAAATTCTGGTGGATTCTCATTTGCTAATCCAAGTGTAGCTGCCCAAGATTTTTCATGGGCAGGGGCTTCCACTTCTGTGAATGCTTCTGATCAAAGCATGTCATTCATCAACCAAAATTCCGGTGGATTCTCATTTCCAATTCCCAAGAGAGCTGGCCAGGAGTTTCAAGGCGCAAGCACTTCCGCTGCTGTGAATGCTTCTCATCAAAACATGACATTCATGAATCAAAACTTTGGTGGGTTTTCATTTCCTAACCGAAGGGAAGCTGCCAGGGAGGCTGGAGCGCAGCGTTTCTTTAACAAGATCTTTTATTAGTATTTTAACTTGATGTTGAAATGAACAGTATTGATGGTGTAAAGATTTTTATTTAAAAAGTATTATTTATTTTAAATTGCAGTATTATACAACCAGTTTGAACTGGTTATCTATTTTGTTTGTACTGGTTATCCAAGTGGTTATTTTAAATTGGTTATCCGTTGTGTTCATGGTGATTATCCAACCAGTTTGACCTGGTTATCCAAGTTGTTTGTACTTGATATCCACCCATTTGGTTTGTATGCCTATCAAACTTGTTTGTACTGGATATCCATTTCGTTTGTAGTGGATATCCATTTCGTTTGTACTTGATATCAAACTCGCCTGTACCGGATATGCAACTTTAAATGCATATAGATATTACAAAGAAAGACATGAACACGTTGAACACGGTTTATTCATAAATAATATCATTGGATAACCAGCATAGATAATCTGGATAATTAGTACAAAGTCCTGGGATAACCAGTAATAAGTTAACAAGGGAAATATATATTTAAAAAAAAAATCCTAAAAGTGTGTTAATGTCTCCCAGAAGTAACATGCTCTAATGATGAAACTGGTTTCTAGATCCGGTGATGTACTTGAGTGTGTGATTTTCCTGGTAGGAACACTATACAACAGCAAATGTCGATTATCGTATCCTTTGAGAATGAACTGTCTCGCTGGAGATGATTTGTGGCTTAGAAACATTGGATAAAGCCAATCATGACGGAAATGTAATCCGTGTGGAACGTGTGTGTTCACATTTAGGAATTCATGGGTCTGAAATATGCAATCCCATGTGGAAGTATCTGGATCCCATGCCCACATCTCACAGTGATGATTCTGAGTAATCTGGTACTCATCTATTACACACAGTCCCCTGGAAGTCCAATATTTTAACTTGGAGATTCATATGAGAAGGATAAGTGGGGTTAAAGAAGATTGGAGATGGAGGGCAGTTATGGTTTGGAATTGTTGAGTGTGGTAGTCAAACACGACCAGCAACTCTTGAGGTGTTGCTATTTTAAAGGATAGTTTGTCTACACGCCAGTATACGAATCTATCAAACCAGGTTCCATCAGATACAAGGCGAGGACATACATTGCAAAGTGTTTTCCATTCCCCTCTATGAATACTTGAACAACTGTGAAAAGAAAAAATGCAGCCTTGCATGTTTTTTCCATCGGTAATAAGGGCCATGAAAAAGTAAGTTTTTGAGGATGATACGTACCCAAATGCTATTTCACAATTGCTGAGAGGGGCATCATATGGCCATTCAACTGTTGCAAGTTGTGTTGTCTTTGGGTTCAAGAATTTGATTTGAGAGCTAGTTTGCAGACAGACCAAATCTGTGGTGATAGGCATGATTTTATGGATGCCGTCGTCACCCATCGACATCTCTTCTTGCAATCGTATGTGGTTGCATGGGTTATCCATTTGCACTTTTATGTTGGTGGCGATTAGTTTATCTTGCAACAGGTGACCTTCTTGGCTTGTTTGAGTGAAAACAAGGATGTTGTTTTCACTTGCAGGGTAGCTCATCTCACGTTTTTGAAGAACAAATTCTTGTCTTTTCGTCATTTCCTCCCAAGCTTTGCTGATACGACGGAACTCCCCAATCTTTTCCAATGACAGATTAATGAACATATTTTCAAGCATATCGTGATGGATATATTCATGGTAGCTGGGGGACATTTGTTTGGTGGTGGAATTTGAGGAAATTTTTTCGTTTTTCATTTTTTTCTGGCTGTTGGATGTTTTGGATGCTCAAATCAGGCGTTCTGGTGTATGTGCAGATGAGGGAGTTTTATAGAAATGCTCTATGTGGAGATGTCAGGGAGTTGTATAGAAATGTTGTATGTGAAGATGAGGTAGTTTATAGAGAGGTAGTTTGGCGGATTAACTACCCATCCAGTCCTATCTTTTTTCACAAATCAATGTCTTCTCACTCTCTATTCATTAACCGTCATTGTTATAATCAAGAAACTCATTTAATGACAGTTATATAACTGATCCTCCTTATTCAATCCATTGCACGTAAAAACGTGTGGCTCTGTAACTACCCATTAGATCATGGTGGATGTACTCTGCACAAACATGAGCATTTTCAGTTTTCTTTTTTTATTTTTACTCCCTCAATCTTTTAAATTCTATTTAATTACAAAACGTGTGGCTTTTTAGTTATACACAGTAACATGCTCCACACTGTAGATAACCAGTATGAACATAGTGGATAACCAGTGTTCCCACTATGGATAACCAGTTTAAAACAGCTGGATAACCAGTGTTGAACACTATGGACCAGTATTTTTCATAAAGAATAAAAACAAAGTGAATTTTATACCCGTAAAAAGGGAGAGGAGCAGGTGAATGGTTGAAGGAATGGTACATTATCCCACACACTCAATTATGATTGAATGACGTTTTCGGGCGTAGGATTCTAAGGGATAATTATTCGGATTGCCCGGCCGCCGTTTGGAAAACGTGCGCACTAATGAGGCAGGTTTTCCAGAATTTGGGCGGGATTCTGAAGCGGGTCGTATTCCCAGGTCGGGTTTGGTCCTCGAGTTAAGTCAGACGGCCTGCCCCTCATTCATTTTTTGTTCTCCATCATTTGGCAAACTTCCCCTCATTCATTTTTAAATACTTTTTATGAAATTTGCCTTGTTCGGCATGGGGCGCAGCCGGGTCGTTTTGTTTATTATCACGGGGGGATTTATACAATTAATTTGTGTCCCCTCTTAACGCAATAACACACTCTCCTTACACACACACACTCTCCTTACACACACACGAAAAAAGGATTACCTTAGCTACATTGGCGTGTTCGGCGGGGCGGTGCAGCGGGGGCAGGTTGGTGACCTGCGATTCCGGTAGCCGCGGGAGTCGTTTAGTTTATCATGGGGGGCGAAGCCCCCCCAATGAATATGCTGTTTGGATTGCAGTATTGAGGTTTTGGATAACAAGTATAATCTCATGGATAATCAGGTTAAAGACTGTACTTGCATTTTTTTTTGACTGGATAATCACTATAAAACATTGGGATAATCAGGTGTAACAAGATGGATAACTGGTACAATGATCATGGATAACTATTACAAACGGTTGGATATTGCTGCACATTGGCTGGATAACCAGTACAAAAGTCCTGGATAAGCAGGATAACATCATAGGATAAGAAGTTTAATAAAGAAGTAGAAAGACCAAGAAATTGGGACACTCAGTTTTTGTTGTCTGGGAATTTACAGAAATATTTGGACAACCAAACTACATTGTCTTGTTATTTTCTTATGGATATTTTCTTCTGTTATGTCTTTTTGGATAATCAGGTTAAAGAATGTACTTGCATTTTTTTTTGACTGGATAATCGCTATAAAACATTTGTTACATATGGATAAGCAGTATTGAGGTTTTGGATAACAAGTATAATCTCATGGATAATCAGGTTAAAGACTGTACTTGCATTTCTTTTTACTGGATAATCACTATAAAACATTCGGATAATCAGGTGTAACAAGATGGATAACTGGTACAATGATCATGGATAACCATTACAAACGGTTGGATATTGCTCCACATTGGCTGGATAACCAGTACAAAAGTCCTGGACAATCAATTCAGAGCATTGGATAATCAGCAAAGAAATATTGGATAAGCAGGATAACATCATAGGATAAGCAGTTATAATAAAGAAGTAGAAAGACCAAGAAATTGGGACACTCAGTTTTTGTTGTTTGGCAATTTACAGAAATATTTCGACAACCAAAATACATTGTCTTGTTATTTTCTTATGGATATTTTCTTTTGTTATGTCTTTTTGGATAATCAGGTTAAAGAATGTACTTGCATTTTTTTTTTGACTGGATAATCACTATAATACATTCGGATAATCAGGTGTAAGAAGCTAGATAACTAATAGAAAGATCTTGGATAACCATTACAAATGGTTGGGTAATATACTAGGATTGCCAATAAACAGCTGTAGGGTATCAAACACTTTAGGATCAACAGTCAATCAATTATACAAGACAACATAATGACAGTTCATTTAACCCATCCCTGAATTTTTCTATCATTGTAGTAAGATTTGCTGCTCAAATCAACATGATCTGGAATTTCTCTTGGTTCTTCTTCAGCAGTATTTGTATAGAACTGTTGCATTGCTTCGAGGATTTTGTCCTTATTTTTGTTGGATGGGTGCATAACGATTTTTAACATGTATTTCCACCGGTACTCTTTGATGTTTCCTGTGTGGAAATCCAAAGTAGTACCGACCTCGTAGTCACCACCATCATACCACTCCATGTGGTGCATTGTGAATATTCCACAATCTTCCGCATTCGGCGTTTTGTCCTTGTATGATGGTAGCGTAACCTCTGTCAAGGTGTACTGAGCAGTGACCAGTTCTATATGTGGAAACACACATTGAAGGTACATTTGGAAGAACCGAAACTGTGATGCCATAAAATCCAAGGATCAGCAAAATGCAATGGATAATTCTTAAAGTATGACAATCATTTTGTATCTTTTTTTCACTCACAAGATCTTTTGTTGGCTTGTAGTAGTCTAGATCTTTTGCATGAAAATTGTTGAATGCAAGCACTTTCTTTTCTTCAACCAGCAACACATACAAGAAGTAATGGTCTCGGTAGTGTACTGGGAAGTAGATCTGATTTTTCACATTGAAGGGGGAAATTATATGAAAATTTTTTAACAGCCAGTTATAGAAAGAGTGAAGGAGGTGAAAGATGTTGCTTACAGCTTTTTCCGCTATCAGGGATGCTACACCGAGGCCTTGTTCTTCTAGTTCAAGAGCCAACCTCTCATAGAATGTAAACTCTAATTATTCTTTGTTACTGCCCGGTTGGTTGTATCGACTGATTGTATCTTGCGTTATTGTTTGAGGTGGTTGGAAAATGATACAATGATCAGTATAATGGTTGGAAAATGCAATATAAAACAATGATCAAAATCAAGCACATACAAGGTCAACCAAAAGTACCCTAGATGACAAACAAGAATGAATGGATAACCAGTTGAACTCTGATGGACAAGCATTAGTAACAAATTGGATAATAAGTGTTAGTGGTCATGCATGATCTTCCTGATGATTACTTATAGGTAGGTAAGTTATACAACCATGATGGATAACCAGCAAAATAATGTATGGACAAGCAGCCGCATAGAAGCACAACTAAAAAAAGGCATGGATAACTAGTTTACAGAATGTGGATAACCACCAATTATGGCCGGATAACTAGTTTACAGATTCTGGATAACCAGCAATTATGGCTGGATAACTAGTTTACACATTATGGCTGGATAACTAGTAGAAAACCTTTGGATAAACAACTTGCAGACATGTGACAAGTATTTTACTAGGGCGGGATAAACAATAATGGTTTAGTTGACTTACAAATGAGGAAACGCCAAAGAATATCCAACTTGGGGAGTCACTTTTAGCTTCTTCTTTGTTTAGGATGACAGCCCAAGCATCTATGATGCTGTTTTCTATCAATGTCCCTTCCCTCATGGAATAGAATGTTGTCCTGTCTGCCCAAACGATTTTTCCAAATTCAAACAAGAAATTGCTGCATAGAAAAAATAGTCAAATAGACAAATAGTTGGAAAACTGGAAAGTTTTTTATCCCATGGGTAAGGATGGTGACTTTTACCGTGATTTAACTATTTCTTCTTGTCTCTGCAAGAGAGCGAAGTCTATCAATAGAGCTTCTTCTTGGGTCATTTTCTTCTTCTCCTCTGTTAACTGTATGAATTTTTTCTTGTTTTTCTCTACAGCATGAATGGCGACCTGAACCGTTCGGGCAACTGGTGGACTCTTGGTGGATGTCTCCTCTTAGGTTTTTCATTGAGGATCCTAGGACATAACAAAAGAGAGTTAGTATGTAAATTCGTCTTTCTATTTTGTAGTGAGGAGTCACAGTGGATCAAACTTACTTTTCCACTGTCTTTGTTAACCCTTCGTCAAGTACTTCAGCTTTCTTTGAGATTGCAGGCGGTGGCGTGGTACACTCATTTTTGTCCAGCATGAGTAGACCACCCGTGGTAGAAGCAATATTCCAATCGGGTGGAATTATGCTTAAAGGGACTGCTTCAACCACCTTTGGGTTTTTCTCAACTTGTTTTGCAACAGCCGCAATAATCTCTAGTTTTTTGATAACACTTAATGATTCTGAAGCTGGTGCACTGGCCCTTCTTATGATTTCATTGATGGAAGGACTGAGATTCTTTGTTTCGTCGAGTGCAGATGGTACTGGATATTCTTCTGCTTCTATAGTCTCATTCACATCTTTATCCAAATCAACACTTCCTGTGACATCTTCCTGAGTGTTCTTCTCCTGGGTTGTCTCGTAACTGTCTTCCTGACTGGAAAAGATACCCAGGTTAAAGTGTGGGATAGTTGGACCTTTGAATGCTTTCCTTTTCCTGGTACCAGTGCTTCTCGACCTTTTGGTATAGGTGGATGTCACACCTGAATCCCGGCCGGTGGAATCTTGATGGGATCTCTTCTTTTCTATTGTGGAGATATTCGTTGCATGTTCTGCAGTACAGAGTTGGAATGTTGGATAATCAGTACGAACATACATATATATTAGACACATTGGATAACCAGTTCAAATGAAGTGGATAATCAGTTCAAATAGGCTGGATAATCGGCAGGAACACAATGGATAACCATTTAAAGGGAAAAAAGGGGTTGGATAAGGAGTACAAATTAGACAGATTGGATAACCAGTTCAAATGAAGTGGATAATCAGTTCAAATAGGCTGGATAATCGGCAGGAACACAATGGATAACCATTTAAAGGGAAAAAAGGGGTTGGATAAGCAGTACAAATTAGTTGGATGACAAGTACAATCACATCAGGCAAGTATTTGTTTCATTAAAAAAATATTCATTACCTCGTGGTTGAGTTTGTTGTTCATCAACCAGCACTTCTTTTGAAGTAGGCACGGATTTCCCCACTGGAAGAGAATTCTCATCATTTGTCTGGCTCAATTGATCCAGTCCCTGTGCCCCTTGTGGTTGAGTTTTTTGTTCATCAACCACCACTTCTTTTGAAGTAGGCACAGATTTCCCTACTGCAAGAGAAGCCTCATCATTTGTCTGGCTCAATTGCTCCAGTCCCTGTGCTTTGTCAATTTCAATGTCTTGAAACTTTGTGGGATTAGTTGGAGCTTGTACAGTGTTGTCATCAGTTTGTTGGTGTTGTTGTTGTTGTTGTTGGTCAGCTACTTGTCGTTGCAGCTGTTCTATGATTGTTGCAAATCTACTTTCAGTAGACTTCCATGCCATCTCGCACAATTCACAAATCTGTGCATCTTGGAGGTCTTGCTGGTCTTGCTGCTGCTCTTGTTCCTGTTGCGTTGTACCTGAAGGCGGAGGCATCTTTCTACTCATCGACACCATTGCATCTGTTAGGATCTTGATTGTTTGCTTTGCTTGTTCATCTAGTTCGATTTTTAACTCCATTTCCTTCTCACGAATGTCTAAAACAGTTTTGCTCATCGTGATAATCAATTGGTAGAATTTTTCATAAAGAGCAGCAAGGTCCTGCAAAAGTGAATGTAGTTAGTGGAATGTGGAGATGCTAGGTTGGATACGTAAGTTTGATCTGAAAAGAAATGGAAGAACAGTATATAGACTTGCTGTGTGTTGGGGTTTCCCTGTGTATCCCCCTGTGATTCAGCCTCTGGTTGTTCATCTCGGGATGCTGCTAGGGACGGTTTCTTGAGACGTTCAAGTGTCTGGACATCTATAAAATTGCTTCCTTGAAGTCTTATTCTGTCGTCCAACATCTTTTGATCCCAAGATTTGATCACAGGGAATGACCTCGGATTTGCTCTCTCATACTCACACCTGTCAAGGTAGCACAACTAACAAAAAAAAAAAAAGTTGGTGTTAATGATATCAGTACAAGCAGTACAAATTAGACAGATTGGATAAGCAGTTCAAATGAAGTGGATAATGAGGGCAAATAGGCTGGATAATCGGCAGAAACACAATGGATAATCATTTAAAGGGAAAAAGGGGGTTGGATAAGCAGTACAAATAAGTTGGATGACAAGTACAATCACATCAGACAAGTACAAGCAAATTGGATAAACATTGCAAGCAATATGGATAACTAGTAAAATTTGTACGGATATGGTAAGTACCAGGAAAAAAGTGATTGGTCTGGTGAATGGTTTCCCATCATGGTGACTTTTGTATCCTTTCACTAGTGCATCAATCACATATTAACACCAATTGTATTGTGTCACTTCATTGATGTTCACGAGGGACTTCAGGATGTTCATTGTTATCCTGGAAGTGGTGTTTTCATGTAGGAATGTGCTCACAACGAAGACCAGGAAATCTCGTTTGAAGTCATCACCAAAATCTTTTCGACCAGCAATTAATTGTGCCGCGGTGGATCTTGTTGGCAGGAATTTATTACTGTATCCCATTCTTTTCTTGAATGCATCCACCATCTCAGCGTGGTCCGTTATAGCGGAATCATTCTGTTTGAATTCTTCCACTGGTTAGGGTCCACGAGGAAGATCAAGTACAACAACAACATCTTCCTGTTTGATATCCAGTACATTGTTCCCATTTAATAGGACTTGTCTTGCATCGGTCTGGAAATTGTTTGCCAGAAAATTACATAAGGCTGTTGGAATATTTTTGATTTTGAGATCTAGCAAGGCGCAAAATCCCATATCTCTGATAGCCTGCCTTTGTAGTTGGCGATAATCTACTGCATCTGGCTCTTCCTTAAGATCTGTTGGTTTATTGATTTCAGAGATGAGTTGGAAGAGATGGTTCGGTGTCATCCTTGTCTCAAATTTCTTGACAGAATCTTCAGAACTGATTGGCTGTGGATCTTGACCAATCATCAATTTGTTGTTCTCAGGTTTCGTTCTTTTCTTTTTGGGCTTTTTATCATCGTTGTCAACAACAACCACAAGTTGCTTTGGATTTCCTGTCGGTGTGCTCTTCTTCCTCTTTGGTTTTCTCCACAAGTTATGGGGCCTTGGAGTTTGCACAGGGGACTGTTCTTCTTGTTCTTCTTGGGTTGATTTTTGTTTTTTATATATGGTCAGTGTTCCTTCAGGGAGCTCCAATATTTTCTCTGGTTCAGGATCCGGTGATCTGTCTGGGTTGCAGTTGAGGTTGTGGCTTGCGCTGATCCACTCGTGCCTATATTTTGTTCTAGCCTCCTTTAGGGCACTGTTGGTATTGCACAATCAGTAAGGAGTCAGTGGACAAAATAGCAGGATATGAAAAGGAGTAGTAATCAGAAAAGGAGTAACCAGTATGAAATGGGTGGAAAACCAGCAAATAATGTATGGACATGTAGCCAGATAAAAGCACATCTAAAAAAAACAATGGATAACCAGTTTACTCACTACAGATAACCAAGGTAAAATGGGTGGATAACCAGAAACAAAGTTTGGACAAGCACCCCATAGCACACACGCATGAAAACTTGGATAACCATTTCAGATATATAGTGGATAACCAGTTCAGTTTGTTCATGCCACATAGAATCAAATGTAAAAAAAGCATGGATAACCAGTTTACAACTTGTAGATAACCAGTATGAAATGGGTGGATAACCAGCAAATAATGTATGGACGTAGCCACATAAAAGCACATCTAAAAAAAAACAATGGATAACCAGTTTACACCATGCGGATAACAAATATTTAATGGATGGATAACCAAAAACAAAGTTTGGACAAGCACCCCTAAACCCTAAACCAGTAACAAAAAAAACACAAAAACATGGATAACCAGTTCAGTTTGTCCATGCCCCATAGAATAAAATGTAAAAAAAGCATGGATAACCAGTTTACAACTTGTGGATAACCACTTTACAACTTTTGGATAACCATTTCACAACTTGTGGATAACCAGGATGAAATAGGTGGATAACAAATGTCAATATGATATAGATGGATAACCGGAGATTATGGCATGGACAACGATCACATAGCATACGCAGGAAACCATGGATAAATAGTTCAGATCTTGTGGATACACACAAGATATTGCTGGATAATCAAAAAAATAGGATCCCAGAGTAATATACTTACCATTGAAGCATGTATAGATGAAGGAGAGCTTGAGATGGCCGGACGTAGGGTTTCTCGCCGTCGTCTGTGTGTGTGTGTGTGGGTTTGTGAAAGAACAAACTGACAAAAGGAAAAAACGCAGGAGAAGATGAAGTTATCAAAATCGTCTTCTAGCGTAGGTTTTCCGTCGATTTTGTGTAATTTTGTGGTGGTGGTCAATTTTGTATTTGCCCTAAAATGGAGAGTTTCCGTCGACTGCGTGTTTGTGTGTGTTTATGCGTGAGGATGAAATGGATGAAAATAATTTTCTGTGTGCATTTAATGTAAAGGTAAATTTTTTGTGTGTGTTTGGCGGGGGGTATACGGTACACCCGGGTGCACTGGATACGGCCTCGAGTTTTTAATCGACACATGTCGCGCAATGGGATAGTCCAGAGACTTCTCCGCTACTTGTCAAGCTCACTTTTCTCTTCTGACACTTGTCGATAAAAGAGGCTCTCCTTCATTAAAACGTTAAAATTTTTGATAAATTTATTACTTTCACTTATTTATCATCCATCCATTTCACCCGTTTTCCATTTATAGTTTAGAATTATTTATGCCACGCATCTTTTACGAAAATCTTTCTTCATTAAAGTGTAAACAAAGCTTTGTAAATCAGTGAACTTTAAGTAGTATATTATTTAACCTTCAACAATAGATTCTTACCCTGATTTTTTCTAAGGATGGTGTACCGTGTACGATATCAGAACAATAAATAATCTATTTAAGGGATATATGGACACGGTTTAATCCAGCAATCCTAATACACGTTTAAAGTGCGACTAGGTTCATAAAACGTACTGCTCCTAATAATCTATTTATGAAAAAAAAAACCTCCCCAATTATATGATATACGTGATCACAGGTGATTAATAAGATGATTTGATATGATTATCCCTTTCTGCTAATAAATAGAACCTAAAAGCCGCTCCTGCATACTATAAATTTTCAATCTCAAATGTAACTTTGCTACCGTCGACCTTCAACATCCTCTCATCTATCTTTATGAGAACAAGTTTGAGTGAATACTGAAACTGGTGCCAATATCGTTCTAGCATAATTATGTAGATCAACTCATGCAGTGGTTGCTAATTATTTTCTTTCGTACCTTTACCCATATACTGATTAGTTGGAATTGCTTTCTCTGGCCTCTTTTCAGAATGCCTACCTAATTTGGTTTATCAGTTAAGGCCACAGAATCGCTCTCATCGGCTATGAGGCTAAAGATTGCCCAAGATGCTGCTCGTGGTTGAACATACTTACATGAAGAGATGGAGTTTCAGGTGTTTCTTGTTTGCCTTGTCCCCAAAATCCATAGCAATAAGAAGCATGTTTCTCTTCTTTAGTTAAATATGGTACCGCCATTCTTCATTCTATTGGGAGTTCGAGAGCATATTCAAGGAAAATATCTTGCTTGGCCTAACCTATCTCTTTTAAATCATCAGATCATTTTCAGAGATTTCAAATCTTCAAAGATTCTTCTAGATGAACAGATGCAGTACTAGAAAACTAAGTTGTCAGATTTTGGATTGGCTAGATTGGGTCCTCCATAGGGATTAACTCATGTCTCCACAACGGTATGCCCAACCGGGACTCTTGAGGCGGCTTAGGTTCCCGAAACTTAATAGGATTCAGGGATTGTTCAGGTATTCTCATACTTATAAATAGGATTGCTCACACCACAATACAGGTACGCAATCTACAGCTTAACATACTACATACCTAAACCTTCCAGCAACCCTTTATTGACTTAAGTATCGGAGTATCTACCCTCGGGAGACCCCGAGGCCCTGTTTTGCAGGAAACTTTAGCCGGAATTCCACCATTAGACCAGCGGTGCAAAACCGAGCATCGTCAAGTGGCACGCCCAGTGGGACCCGAAAACTAGGGTTTGTGTCACAAAAACCTCCTCAGGTTTCCTTGACATCTCCCGGTAAAAACTAGGGTTGCAGTAACAATCAACACAATGGTTAGAGTTGAAGAAGACACCGGCAGCACAGCATCTTCCGGCCAACGGCATAGTCTAGGGGACAACACCTCCCTGACCGAATTCCAACGCAGGCAAGAAAGGAAGAAGACAGGAAAGAGCCATGGCGGAGAACCTGAAAAAGAACCAGCAAAAGAGCGCTTGGTCCTTGGCGCTTCCCAACCTGATCCGAAAACACAAAGCAAAACCAATCTTCCACCTAAGAAAGAGGACATACCTTCTCCTAGAAATACCCCAGCTGCCACAAAGCGTTTGGAGGATCAGAAACTAGCCAAGATCGAGGCTGAACTCAAGAAGCTAGGAGATGATAGCGATCACAACAGAGAATGCGGAGAAATGTCCTCAAAGAAACCAGGTGGCATTGTCTCCTTGGACAACCCGATCCCACAGAACAAGAGTTAGAGGAGGATGTGACCACTCGCCTTTCGAGTTGTAGCTTCCCAGCATTCTTCCTGAATCCTGATGGCAAATCCCCTGGAAATAACATCGCTGGGGCAGTATGAAGGTGGAGGCTTGAATATTCCGGCGAAGGCGGTTGAAACGCTCTGACGGAGAGGAGGATTTTGAGTTTTTGCAAAGAAGGAAAAGTGATAAGTGACAGAGGAATGGTAGAGCCTTCTCCTTAAAAATAAAAATTATTCTCCCACATTTCTCTAATTACAGCCCACGATATGACAGTTAATGCGAATTTCAAGGGAGTAATGATGGTGAGGCCGCCGTTTGGGGAACGTACCCACTAATAACACACGATTGAAATTTTGGGCGGGATTAGGAAACAGATCGCCTTCCCGGGTTAAGATCTAACCCGCTAGTTACCCTTGGGCTTCCAAGGTCGACAGTTGTGCGTTTGAATCGAGACTGCTCGACATATCGCTCGATAATTAGCTGAACAAGGGTAGCCCGTCCACTCTCGGGTATGTCCCAGATAACACTTACTTTGTGCCAAGAGTTGTTTATTTTATGCAACTAACACTCGGCGGGGGCACTTGGCGAGTCTATATCTATCATCGAGGCTAGACCGGCCCATCAACCGAAGGGAGAGTCCAACCGAGACTCTTGAGGCGGCTTAGGTTCCCGAAACCTAATAGAATTCAGGGATTGTCCAGGTATCCTCATACCTATAAATAGGGTTGCTCATACCATAATACAAGTATGCAATCTATAGCTTAACATACTACATACCTAAACCTTCCAACAACCCTTTATTGACTTAAGTATCGGAGTGTCTATCCTCGGGAGACCCCGAGACCCTGTTTTGCAGGAAACCCTAGTCGGAGTTCCACCATTAGACCGGCGGCGCGAAACCGAGCATCGTCACCCAGCTATAGTATACTTGATTAATTAACGTGGGGCTAATCTGCAAGAGCCTTTTTAAATTTGTAAATGTCAATTTTATATGTGCTTATTTTTTTGTTCAGCTCATACATTGAATTACATGATAAATTCTGCAGAGTAAACTAATCTCCAATTGTGTGGCATTTATTTATGCTTTCTTAATTTGCTTATGATGTTAAAGCATTGAAACCTACGTTGCATAAAATTCATTTTTAGCCCAATTCCTCTAATTTTCTAATTAATCGCCATAAAACTTGCAAACACTTCACACGTCTACTTATAATTTTTAAGAATGGCCTCTAATTTGGTTTTCTTTTTCTTTTTCTTTTCTTTTTTTTTTTTGGTAGAAAAACCTTTTTATATGTACATTAGTGATAAAACAAAGGGTAGGTTAGAGTAATTGGGCGCATGGGTTGGTAAGGTTTCGTGATTTCAGTCCAGTTTTGTATGGACATGGGTTGGTTGTTTTGACACATTTGCCTTATTCTCTCTCTTTGTCCTAAAAATTTGATGGCTAAATTCTGATTATTGCAGTTGATGGATCTCTTGATCTTGGTTTATAGATTATGCGTTTGCTAATTGAAATCTGGTTGCTTAGCTTAATGCTGTCGCACCGCTCTGTGTGATGGGTTTACATTCTAATGAGGAAATTAGGATTTTGGTAGAACTATTGATTAGATCGTTTTCTCCTTCTTCATCGGTCTACTATCAGCACCATATGCACCATTGTCTAACCAGCACTGTCACCGTGTCAGTCATCTTGTGGCCTTAAAGGTGAATCCTTTCCTTTTTGTTTTTTTAATAATATGTTTGCAAGTGTCATAATTTTTAGTTGAAATTGGCTTGTGGATTGATTTTCTGCTTAAAGTCATTCTTGCAATTTTGAAGTATTATGCTTATACGGATGAGTATCGTAATATGTTTGCATTTTTGAAGGACCGACCATGGCCTTATCTTTGCAGTTTGATTCATTTTGTTGCTGGTTCATTTATCGATCGGCCGGCTGGAGCTGTAGGATTTAGTATGAAAGTTTTGGTGGGTATTATTAGGGAAAATTTGGATGGGGGTTAAATTAATAAAAAGGGCAAAACTTCAAAATAATTGTCACTAAAGGCACAAATTTATTTGGCAAAAATCATAATATTGAATTAATTGTGTGTTGAAATAAATGCCCTTTTCTTGCCAAAAAAAAATAAAAAATAAAAATCAAGTCCTTCCAAAAATTAATTCTTCGCAACCAGAAGGCTACACAAATGGAGTTTAGGAGGAATTGTAGTACATTTGATATATATATTTCTTCCGATATTTTACCTAAAAAAATGAAAGAAAAAAAATGAAAGAGTGTAATTAGAACAGAATTCCTACTGTAAATTTGACAAAGCTCTTTTTTTCATTCGTTTCTTTTTAAATGAATAGGAAGCACACATAATAAATGTTGTATCTATCGGGTGGCATGTGACATAATTTTGTGCCACTCCCTGTGACACTTTATGATACATGTCCCTATTTTAACTCTACTTCACCCTTACTGTCAAGTTAACGATCGTTAACTAAGTAAATTAATAATCAATTAAATAAAAAATGTCGCCGATTCCACTGTTTTCACTTCTTCCATGTACGTAAATCTCTTCTCGGCCACTCAAAACCCTAATTTAAAATTCAATTGTGAAGCTTGAAGGTTGAGATCATTTTAATCTACACAATCAATGGAGGAAGATAGTTTTCAATGTTCAGGTAATTTTATAATGCTACGTTGTTAAGTTTTTTCTTTTTGCACGGTGATAATCTTGAACTCATATATCAGATTTGATGTTCAACGAAAAGAATAATTTGATGGCGCAATTTGTATTTTTGTCACTTCGATTGCTTGTAATTAGAACATGGTGATTGCAATGTTATTTTCTTTCTTTTTTTCCTGCCTTTTTTTTTCTTGATTAAATTCGTCTTTCCTGTTCTGGGTTTTGTTTTTTGATGAATAAAGTCATAGCAAAGTTTCAATGGGGGGCCAGTTCTTTGAGGTTTTCATGTACTCTTAGTACGTAAATTGCTAACCGAAAAGCTATCCAATCACCTTTTGTTAATATTAATATATTGAAAGCAATCTAAACATGTTTTATGGTCGCATACCTTTTGTAAATGTGGTTCATGTTCCAATTAAGATTGTTTGCGTTTTAGGATTTTTCTTTTCTATTTGTTGTATCTTTAAGTTAAATGATAAATTTAAGTTACTCTTTGCGGGCGCTGATTGTAAAACACTTGAAAATTAACCCTTTTCTATCGAGGTTGATGCCAGTGAAGACAATTATCTTCCTCAACACGTGATCCCGGAAGAACTTATTTCGAAAGTTGGCACGGAGTTTGAAAATGAATCTGCGGCTTATGACTTCTACATGAATTACGCTAAAGCATGCAGGTTCGGATCCAGAATGAGTACAGTACCTAAAGATAAAAATAAAGTGGTTTTGGACAGGATATTTTGTTGAAATCGAGAAGGCAAAAGGGGCACGGATAAGCGCATCGCGACGGTTAAGAACCCTCGAGATGAAACAAGGTGCGAATGTAGTGCTATGATGAAGATCAGTTGCAGACATGGTGGAAAGTATCGTATTGTAAAATTTGTTCCTGATCATAATCATGAGCTGTCTAGCCCAAGCAAAAGTTATATGTTCAGTTGTTTTTGAAAAATGACCGTTGCTCAAAAAGTTGAAGTGAATATTGTCAAAAGCTGTGGGGTGGCACCAAAACAAATAACAGAGATAATGGAATCTTGGTTTCCTTCACAATGATTTGAAAAATTATTTACGAACTAAGAGAACAATAGCAATGAAGCAGGGAGATACTGGAGGTGTCCTAGAATACTTGCAAAGATCACAGTTGGAAGATCTAAACTTTTATTGTGCAATTCAAGTGGATGTAGATGATCTCATCACAAATATATTATGGGTTGATGCAAAAATGAGGGCAGATTTTGCAAAATTTGGTGATGTCGTGTCATTTGATACCACCTACAAAAAGTACCGAGATGGTAGACCTATTGGAATATTCGTTGGTGTAAATCATCATAAGCAGACTTCAATTTCTAGAGCAGCATTATTGTACGATGAAACAACAGAAACATTTGAATGGTATTTTGATGCTTTTTCAAGAGCTATGATGGGTAAGAAGCCTCGAACAATTTTAACTGATCAAGATCAAGCGATGTCAACAGCATTGGCTACTCAGTGGCCAGCAACTTACCATCGTTTGTGCATATGGCATATTTACCAAAATGCTGCAACCCATCTTTCTGATGTCTTCGCAAAGTTCAAAAAAACTTTTGCATCTGATTTTTGCAAGTGTGTATATGACTTTGAAGAAGTGGATGATTTCTTTGATGCTTGGAACCAGATGTTGGAAAAATATGACTTGGAAGACAATGATTGGTTAAAAAAATTGTTTGAGAAGAAAGAAAAGTGGGCATTGGTGTATGGCAGGGAAACGTTTTGTGCAGATATCATGACAACTAAACGTAGTCAGAGCATGAATGCTGTTGTGAAGAAATATGTGAGTTATAAATATGATTTGGCTGAGTTTTTTCATCACTTTCAGAGATTGCTAGATTATCGTCAAAATGAAGAATCAACCGAAGATTTTAGATGTGGCCAAAGTACTCCCGCAATGACATTGCCTTTAGAAATTTTGAAGCATGCATTTGAGGTATACACGCATAAGGTTTTTGCACTATTTAATGAGGAGCTGCGGAAAGGAATTGAAAGCGAAATTGAGAGTGAGAGTCAAGCAGGAAGCCAAAGAATCTTTAAGATTAAGCTATGTCAAAGGCGAACTGAACATACTGTCACTTATGATTTGTCTTATGATTCTGTAAGTTGCAGCTGCAAAAAGTTAGAATTTGCTAGTATTTTATGCGCACATTCCTTAAAAGTGTTAATGACTTTGAATGTTATGAGGATTCCTGAGCAATACATTTTGAAGCGGTTCACAAAGGCAGCCAAGAGTGGAATGTCACGAGTATGCGGGGGAGTTGGTAACGTAGATGACAAAAAAAGGATAAGTTCGCGATACAAAGAGCTATCTTATTTGTTCATGGAGCCGGTGACAAAAGCTGCAGAAAGTGAAGATGGATATGCATATGCTAAGAATTGTTTCTTAGAGATGGGAGAAAAGATTGATACATGTGTGGGAAAGGGGAAACAAGTTGAAGAAACTAATCGGGTAATGCCCATAGTTAAGGATGTAGCTGAAAGTATGAGTATGGCTCCAAGTGAAATTGAGGTTGAACTTGATGAAAACAAAATAAAAGGATTGAAACCAAAAGCAAGAATTACGTACCAAACTAGTAAGAGACCAAAGAATGCATTAGAGCATGCTGCGACGAAGCGCAGAAACAAGGCAAAGAAAAAGGATACAGTCGTGGAAACACTACAGGTTAGTTGAACATTTTGATTAATAATTCATATTTTTATTTTTTTTAAAAGGATTTCAGTGGCAGCCTTTAAAACATGAAGTTTTGCAATATATAAGAGCTGATTGATCGTTAGTCTAAAGTTACAATTGATCGTTAAAACATGAAGAATTACGTACCACTCAATTAACAAATTCATAATTATTATATCTTTCTTATTTGATTTAACCGCCATTATTGCTACTTCAGGATGACAAGTTTGAGAATAATAATAAGCGAATTGAGGTTCCTTCACGGGTCCTAAATTGGTCTTCCCAACCTCTTAAGGTAAGTTGAATCAGATATTAGTTTTAATGTTTATACTAATGTTTGCTTATTTTATTGATAAAAATGTTGTATTTTGTAGATTTTTGAACCAAATGAACTCCACTTTCCCGAAGTTATGTCATGTGATTTAAGCAAAGGAACTTCTCATTTACAACATTTTCCACAAGTCATGTTTGGTCATTTAAGCCAAGAGTATCAACATGATCATCATGTTTCTCCAGCTTTCTCGAGTTATGGAAGAGGAAAACAACCACAATTCAATTATCCAAGTGTTAACGAGGTACGTGCATGGATAGATTTACTTCAACGATTTAGTTATTGTTTGTTAAATTAAGAAATTTGACATTTCTTGATCTCAAACATTTCTTGATCTCAGACATTTCAGAAATGTGACCCAAGCCAACTTGACAAAGACTTTCAACAAGATAGCTAGTCACGCCAACTTGACAAAGGCTTTGAAGATAATTGCAATTTCAAGGATTCGGCTTTTGAGTTTTATTTTATTAAGAAGAAATAGTAAATAGATTTTGCTCTGTTTTAGATCCTTAATATGGTAGAGTATTAGCTTGGAAACTTTTGCTGGAGCAATAGTTACAAAAGACTTACTTTGGAGGTTCAGTTCTGTCTTTAGTGGTGCTTAGTTTGGATGATAATTCATGATTTGCCGCTTGTTTGGATGATTATTCGTGTTTTGCTGAAATTTATACATCATAATTTTTATTTTTTCCTTTTGCATTTGAGTGATCATTCTCTAAGCTTTGTTAAGGAGAAACTTTAGTTAGTTCCTCTGTTGCGTAGTTGATTTCCCTTTTTTAGTTACATAGCCGACGTTGGCATTTTGTTTCTCATTTCTCGTAGTTGAATTGGGTTCATGCCTTTTGGGTTTGAACTTTAAGGGATTTGAACTTGCTGATCGGTGGGTTCATTGTTGTATTAGAGGATTAAATTTGGATTGTGTATTGGAGTAATAAAGCTTAATTAGATCTTGACGTAAAACAGCTTCCGTAATTTTGTCTTTAACCAAAAAAAAAAAAAAGTTCAATTGATGCATCTCTCATATTGTTGCATATATGTATCCAATGATTTCTTTGCTGTCCATCTGAGCTGCTCGTTACATGTTCCGTCCTTCACTCTCTCGTATAAGTTGCAGTAATAAAACACTGATTTGGAGTCCGCAACCAAGGACCTAAACACAGCGAATAGAATCGGAATCCTGCAAGGGCTCCGCACAATACATATGCATAGCGGATGGGCACAATGTAAAGACCAAAACCAATCACCCAAACAATCAAATTTACAAACCAAAACAATAATATTTGAGTACTTTCCTGAAGCAAGGGAAAAAAAAACAGAGAGAGAAGGCGGCGGCGGAGCCGAAATGGAACAAGAGATTTATTGTGTATTACTGATGGTACAATTACATGTATGTATACAAGAAAAAATGCAGCAACGTCTCCAATAATTAAGCTAAGTTACATCTCTACAAAAATCATGACTTATCCAAAAAATCAGAATCATTCCCTAAACTAATGTTAATCAAATCATGTTAACACATACTAGAGCTTTATTATCAGAAAGAATAAAAACCACCGCAGTTTCAAATATTCTCTTTTCAACACCAGCAGAAAGATCCTCTCTTCACCTCAGACCACAAGCCTGTCGGATTTTCCAATCATCAGAAAACCATTCCTTGTGAATCTGGTTCAGGTTCCAGCCAAATTTACAAAAGAAACCAAGCGCGGCTTCCTCAGAAATCTAGAGGAGGTTCCAAATCTGAGACTGAATTTCTTTTCTGCTCAAGAGGCGGAATTCTAAATCCTAGATCGACATCATCATCAAAGGGGACGGCATCATAGTCTTCCTCTTCGTATGTCTTTCGAACAAAACAACAAACAAAATTTGATTGTGGCCTAAATTCCATCAACCAATTCAGAGTATTCTGATCTGTTGAACCGCTTCGGCGTCTTCACCAGAGGTGAAATTGATGATTGGGTGGAGAGGAGATATATCTGAGGAGAAGAGAGACGTTCTTTTTCTTAACAACTCCTTTCTAATTATTTAATTGACTATTAATTTACTCAGTTAACCATCGTTAACTTGACGGGAAGTCTGAAATGGTGAGAATTAAAATAGGGACAGGTATCAGCCACTTATGAAGTGCCACAGGGAGTGGCACAAAATTGTGTCGCAGGTGACCCCCACCACTATCTATCATAGAAAAGGGATAAAAATTTACTTTGATTTCAAATTTTTGAAAGGTTGATGTGTTAAAAATATATATCTCCAGGGAAAAAATTGTGTTTTTAAATTTTCTGCTTGAAAATTATCAAATAAGAACAACCCAAAACAACCTAATGATAGAGTTTAATTTATTTTATAATCATAATGTTAAAACAATCTTATGCTGAAGGTGTTGGAATTTTTTTTCTTTTGGTTAATAAAATACTACACATTAAGGGTAACATTGTCAATATACAACTTTTTTTATTTTATAATTTTTGTCAAATAAATAACTGCCCTTAACAAAAATTATTTCTAATTATTTTTTTAGAAAATATTTCTAATTATTAATTTAACTATTTCTACTTTCCCTCATCGAAATTTTTTCATGTTATTTAAATAGATATCGTTAAACGAGCGATCATATTCTGAATTTGTTCTTATAGAAAAGGGCGATTTCGGACTTTTACATGCAATCATTAATCTTCAATTGTACTAATTGTCTCATCCATTGTATTTAATTTTTTGTTCGCAACTGATAAGTATTCTTGTTCTTTAATTCTTTTACTTTTCTTTATTTCAGAAAGCTTTAATTCCTGAATCTTTCCACTGTTTTTTAATTAAAAGGGAAGAATCATTATATCGTTATATCTCCCAGAAAGTTTGATATCATTATTAATAGTATCAAACTTTCTTTTGATGGGTCTAAGAATTGCCCACGATATCACTTCCTTTTTGTTTTTTCTCATTCTTCCTTACTACCAATCCAAATGTATCAAATTGCGTTTTCTAAAACGGTAGAGCTTTTTCGTTTTTTTTTCTTTTTTGTTTTTTTGTTTTTTGGGTGTTATAAATTTTCCTTCATTACTTTATGTAATTATATCCATTTTATACAATTGTAGAGATATGTAATCTGCTTGATAAAATTTAAATATACAGTGTGATGATTTTCATCTTTCATAAAGCTTATTCTGAATATACATTCATTTATCCAGTGTTTCATTAAAAGTAATTTTAAATTTCTCCAGTGTTTCATTAAATTTTATGAAAATCTGGACAAGCCAAGGAAACTGTAATAATACCCAGTTTCAGACAGTGTCATTCAAACAACAATTATATCTAGATCAACCATTAGAAAAATAGTATTCATGCCAGCCTTCAGACACAAAGGATACTGATTCGATTCAAGACAAGACAATTCCTGATTGTTACGTGTTTTACAATGACAATCAATAAAAGTTATGGTCCGCCATTCTTGCAAGTGGGCTTATTTTTTCCATGGCCAATCTTTGCTCATGGATAGTCAAATGTTGCCCTTTTTATGGTAAAATCTATATAGGTTTTCAAGTACTCATATGAAGTAAGGAAGGAGAATTTCGCAATCAGACGGAAAATATTGTCTACAAAGAAACACTATATAGTATTTTAATGTTCATTATTTTTTTTTTTATTTTGATTCATTTCATCACTGTGTCCCTAATAATATATACTATATTCCATTTTTTGTTTACAACATCAACACTTAAAGTTTCTCAACTACGTACTATTATATGATATTTAAATAAAAACGATCTGTCAATCGTGCAACTAGTAAGAATTATGTTTTAAAAATTGCGCAATAGACAGAGATAGCAAATAATTATAGTACTTTTCAAAAAAAAATATAGAAATTTTAAATATACTGGTTAATTTTGAGAAACAATTATCACTATAATCAGACAAAAGAGTGCCTGACACATAAGTCACTTAAAATTTTTGATACATTTTTATTTTCTAATAGATTACACTGCAAAAGAGGAAATTGTAACACCAGCTTTAAGTTCTATACATATTTATGTTAATATTTACAGTATAATTATTCATACTTAAAATATAGGAGCAAATTAAGGTTAAATGGAGAAGGGGAAAAGCTCATGTACTGTTGTTAGACCCTTGAAATAATGTAACAAACTAATGATCAAATAGAAAATTAAATACTAATTACACATATAATTCCTCGTATTTGAATCTGGTTGTACAATGCAAGATTTATGACTTCACAATGCAAGATTTATAATTTGTCATAATAGAACCATCAGGTGTTACTATTTAAGTGATTTGTGGTTAAATCAGATAAAATGAAACATACGGAGATGTGTCGTATGATAGTAACAAGAAGTCAACAATTGGTCATTTATCACATTCGCGCCAAATTACTAGGTACTCCTATATGAGAAGAAGAAAATAGAGTTTTAAGTTCCATACCATTCCTATATCAATGTTGTTAGACGCAGTACCGTAATCTATTAGATAAAGAGTGTTTTTTTACTACTCTATGGTTGTCACTTTTCAGGATGGAGTTTTCTTTCTCCTGGCTTACAAACGCGAGTTACATTTAATTGTCATGGTTTAGAGTATACAGTGAGTTTGGAAACATATTGGAACAAACTATTGACGTAATCACGAAAATGCATTGAAACAAACGTGGATATGTACTCATATAGTATTGATGATCTCAGACATTTTTTTTGACAAGAGGTGCATAAAAATGAAGCTCAACTGGATAAGCACTCATATAGTGATTTCAGACATTCTCAAAGTATTTTACTTTTTGTTCAAATTCTCAAGAGAAGTTGAAAATAGCAAATGACACACCGTGTAAACAAACGGTGAACTGATCATATATGAGAGTAACTCTTTCTAATCCCATTTGTAAGTTACAATTTTAAATTAAAATTGTGACTTACAAATAGGACCTAAGAGTACTCTATTCATAACAAAAACTCATACATGCATTAATTCAGAATTGGAATGATACCCTAACATCCAATATTTTTCAACCAAAAAAAAAAGAAAGAAACCCCTAGAAAATAAACAAGAGTAAGAAGTCAATACCCGAACCACCACCCATCCTGGCTGATAGATATGAAAGACCACAAAACACACATATTTTGTTGGCCTGACAAAAGAAAAGCCAGCTAAGGATCCCTTCTGGTGCGCTCTTGACTTCCATGGTAGTTTTTAATATCCCTAGCAATCAGATCATAGGAGAGAGCTACACTGATTACTACTACACCTAACCATTTGTAACATCTACCCCACCTTCTTTATGCAAAGAAAATGGGTATACCTCAAATCAAACTACTATACCACTCTTCATGTTGGTTTTATCAACAATATATGCTGATATAGAAACCAAAAAGCTACTACCCCTTTATATTAAACATCCTTCCTAATTACATATAAACTGCCCCTATCATGAGGAGAACCAAATTAGGGCAGTTTAGGGTAATTAGGGAGTTGCGGGGCTATGATGATCAACATGCCCGGGTGGTGGGGTTGCAACGACAGGCGTTGGCTCAGTTGCCAATGCCAGGTCGTTACTGACACCACCACCAGCAGTTGTAGTTGAACTTGCACCGCTTAAGGCCGCCGAGATTTGCTGGACAGTGTTGCAGATGTGATGGTTAATGGTTGTGACGCTAGACAGGTTCAGCTTGGCGGTTGGTATGGTGCTGGCCAGGACTTGCAGACCGACAGTGAGTAAGCATCCCGCGGAGAGGTCATCAGGCGACACTGATCCGCTTTCAGAAGGGGAAGAAGATTGCCCGGTGCCATTGCTGCTCTTGATGGTTTCATTTGTCGTGACAGGGTGAATCACGAATCCCATGGGGAGAAGAGGGATGCATGAAGGGTCTTCGCCATTCATCGCTTGCTGAATTGCTTCCACATCTACAGTTGTGTACACCACTAGGCTACCTGATTCATCTGTGCAACTCTCTTGAAGCATCAGCTCCACTCTCTGGGATGAGTTGCTTGCCACCTGATAAGGCATATTTGATTAATCCAAAATGAACAATGATTCATTACCAAAATATTCTATCTCCAAAACTAAATAATGCAAAGTAGTACTTACATTGATGCGGAGTAGAGAGATACAATTCCCAGGATGAGAACCATTAGCAATGTGAGCCACTTCATGCAAAGAGTTCCCATTGGACAGGACATCCAACTGTTCACAAATTTCAAACACGTTTAAGTTAGATTTCAGCTGTCATATAGTAACATTAGGGAGAGGAAAAGTTCAAAAATTCATAGATACAGGATCGTGTAAATTAAACCTGAGCTCTGCGGCGTTCATCTCTGAGAAGTTCGAAAACCTGGTAGTGAGGATATGGCAGCCAAGTAGTAGATACAGCAGTGAGAATGAGGCCATTGGGTTCACTAGGATCTCCGGAAACTTTCCTGGTGGTGATTCTAACGGTATCCTCCGCAGAATCGGACAGGGCCGTCCATGACTGGCCACAGCAAGTGCTTATGTTCACTGAGAATGTCCTAATCATTCTCTGTGCCAGATACATCACGTTCTTCCGAGCTTGAGGAGACGGTATCACTGTTTATTCAGTAATAACATCCGCAATATAAGTAATGGGACTAACATAGGTAATAAAATAATTTAAGCAAAACATTCTGTTCTTAATTATCTGAGATAATGTATATAGATATTGTACGTACCCCCTAAATCAGGTATGTTTCGGGCCATTAGGCTAGCAAGCCTTTCACACTGTCGCTGAAGAACAGCCACCCAACGCTTTGCACCGAAAGCAATGCCATTGCTGACAAATTGGTTAAATATCTGATGGACAGGATGCTCCTCAATCTCCACATGCTCTACCCACGTAACCTGTCCATATGTAAAAATAACCTAATTTTTTCTCGCGTTCATTAACTTCTTGCTAAGTAATTATTGTCCATTTTTACGTACCCTAGAGTATCCATTAGGCATATCCTGGATAATGCAACCAGAGGGCCTTCTCTTGTAGTAAGGCAATGAAGAAGGACAGCTGTTGTGGAGACTGTCGAGAGGGAAATCGACAATCACCCAAGTTCCCTCATCGACATTCTGGTGGAAGTAACGAAGGAAATGTGTCTCTCTGGTCGGTACCAATGGGGAAAGGACTTGCAATTCTGCGTACATCTGCATATACACCATTCAAATTTAAAGTTAAGAACAAAATGACAAATGAGATTAATTAGGTTTTAAATTAAGAAGATAGGAATGAATTTCTTTTGAAGTAATCAGCAAAATACTAACCAGCTGAAGTGTACCACTAGCATGACCAGAAACACCAGAAGTTACCACCTGAATAGTTTTTGCTCTTGAAACAATTGACGGGAACAGCTCCATCCATTTCGACTGCGAATATCCAAACAAATAAAACCTAAATTAAAAAGGCGGGAAAAAAAAATAAAAGAAACATTATATCAGTGGTCACTAGCTTATTAATTATTGCTCACAGCATCAAGGAAGGCATCAACAAGAGTAATGCTGTTCATGATCACAACCGCATCATGGCGGCTGGCTTCCGTCCTGATCTCATTCGAGTTCTGCTGCTTGAGGTGGTCAACTGCCCAGCTGGGGAACATTCTCGAGTATTCTTCGACATTCAACACTTCCACCCCGCTGGCGGAATCTTTTGACGATCTTAGGACCCAAAGGGGGTCACCACACTGACACATTTTGATCAGTTCATCAACGGATGAAAGCGCGAGATCCATCGCAAGTGATTTCTCATGATCGTCCAGGATCAGAATTCCGCCGGTGAAGTTTGGGTTCTCGGACATAAAAGGCATTGGCGCCATCATGTCAGGGCAATTAGGAGGAGGCATTTGGTCTTCATATTTTCTGGGGAACATGTTCATATCCAAATCTAAAGAAGAAGGCCCCATGAGAGTATGTGGTCCTCCAAGTGGTGATGTCATTGGCCTTCCAGTGTATTGTGAAATTAGGGAGCATACACGTTCAAACTGTAAAAGCATATTTCCACAACAGAAAATGAGAAATGTAATTATAGGAACGGTTTTCAATTATTCATTAGGGGAAAGAAATGTCAATGTATGTTACAATCAAGAAGTGAAAATATAATATAGTCAAAAAGTAAATCCAGAATGAAATGAGCATTGAAATACTTATAGCTACGCCAGAATTAAGAGATACTTTGAAATGTTATCTTTCATTTGAGTTACAAAAAGATAATGTCAAGTCACTAAACCCTAAAGCTGATATGTCTTTCTTCATGATCTTTTACGTTCTATGTAACGTGCAATATTTAATCTAAAAATAAATCCGATCTCTTTTCCGATGTGGCAGAAAAAGTGGCTCGAGTCAAATGTGAAGACCAAAAGGTAAACAAATAATCAGAACAAAAACCAACAAATATACTCCTGTATATATTTAACAATTCAAAAACTTGAAGGGATTGGAGAGTCTGTTGGTTATGTTAGGCCAAATGGACCAATTTACGAAATTTAGATGATAACCATGGAGATGAGAGAAAAGTAAATGCAGAATTATTAAACCAACGCACGTTTCAAGTCAACCAATTTTTTTTTTTAAATAAAATCATGCATCTCCCTCAGAAAACGTTACAGCCAATCCTAAACCAAAGCAATATAATAAATTACTACTAATAAACACTACGTAACGTACCTCTTCTTTAAGACGGGCATTTTCTAGACGAACTTGTTGTTCATCAAAACCCATTTCTCCTAACATTCCAGGACCACCACAATTAGGGCAAACAATGTTCCGTAACGCAGCTTGTAACCTATAATTCTCATTCTTCAAATTCTCGTTCTCAGCTCTCAGAATTACATTATCAGACCTGTCTTGTTGTGCCTAAAAAGAAAAAAAACATATATATCCAACAAAACAACATTAAAAACCTTAAAATTGTGGGTTAATCCAACAATAATGTCACACACACAAGGACACACCAAACACTCAATGCTCAAGAAGAAATTAATCTATCCGATATATTGCAATAACAGATGCATTAAATTCTTTGTTTCGATTTGGGATGGCAACATTGTGTTAGTAGGTGGGAGTTGACTACCACTACTGCACAGCCCACTGTGTAGTGGTATTAAATGAAAATTGCAGACCATGAAAGCAACCCCCTGGCCATCAGAAGTAAATGTAAATGTAACCCCATCAGCGTGGTTTTGTTGTTTCGTTTTCTCCCAAAATATTTACACTCGAAAAAACCAATATTGAAAATCGTGACAGATTGTGCTTTGATCAGTTCTTTTTTTTTTTTTTTTTTCACAGCTGGATACGAATTTTGGTGTACTTTTTAAACTAGGGTTTTTTACTTTTTTTATTTTTTTAACTGCTACGGAAAAATGAAACGAGCCCCACACAAAGATGAAATAAATGATTTAGGTAGGAGACTCATAGAGTTAAGCTTAGCTGTTTGTTCATTCACACCTTCATCTGAGTTCGGCGGTTCTGGAACCAAAACTTGACTTGACGGGGTTTCAGGCCTAAATCTTGGCTAAGCCTTAGCCTTTGCTTGTCATCAGGATGTGGGCATTCCTTAAACAACCTGGAAAAAAAAAAAATCCAAAACCAAAACAACTTGATCAATGCATGTATATTAATCTAAGGTTTTTAATTAAAATAAGACTAATATTAAGTGTTCCCAGAAAATGTGACACCATAAGAAAAAGGGGGAAAAAAAATAAAATAAAAGAAAAGAAATCATACGCTTCCATTTCTTGGATCTGGCGGGCTGTGTGCCTATGATAACGTTTCTTCTTTGGCTGTCCTGGCTGCTGGTTTTGTTGCTGTTGAAGTTGTTCATCAATTTCTTGTTCGTTTCCAGATAAACCTCCTTCAATCTGTTCACTTCCTGAGCCACTTTCCATTATATCTTCCCTGCTTTTCGATAACCCGTTTTCTTCCTTCTGAATTAAACACGAAAACCCTTCATTAGTTTGATGTTTTGAATCTAAATGAGGCCACTAAAAGGTGAAAAAAAGAAAGGGAAAAAGAAACTTACAGGGATTAAGGGTGGGAAAATATTGAAAGGGAGATTAGACATGAAGGAGAAGCTAGGGTTCTGGAGAGATGGATGTGGGTAGAAGGAGTTATGATCTTGAGCGCCCCCATTTCCTACTCCCATAGATGACAAAACCTGGATATCTCCGAACATTTTTCTTCTGTCGTCTTCTTAATTTTCCGATGCTTTTTTTTTTCCTCCCCGAAACAAAAACTCTTTCTCCTTAATTATTATTATTATTATTTTTTTTTGTCTTCCCTTCCTTTCACTTTACCTGATCACAGCTCAGCAACCAAAAAAAAAACAATAAACGAGTCAGACAAATAAATCCCATACTGAAAATACACAAAAGGAAAAGATTGATCAAATCAAAACTCACCATTGAAATCACTTTGATAAGGGCTAAAAAAGAAGTGGAGAATGGAAAAAACAATAAACACAGAAAAAAAAACCCGGAAAAGTTAGAGATGGAAATGAAGTACAAAGAGGGAGTAAAAGAAGAGAGTAGTGATGAGAAGAAAGAGGTCTGGTTGGAAATTTGGGGGAATTGAAGGAGGGAAAGATGTGTTAAATACCATGGAAAAAAACCCACAAAGAGGGTAGAGCCAGAAGAAGACAGAAAAGTAAGAGAAGATGTCTTAAATATGGTAATACCAAAGGATATAAATAACGGTTCGTAGAGCCTGCTGTAGCCGTAATTAATGACGGTAACGGCAGCGTCAACGGGGACTTGACGGACGCCACTCCGATGGCCCATATTTTTTGCTTGAAGGCTGTGATTTTTCTTTTTTTGTTTTTTTTTTTAACTTTAAAATATCTGGAATAGTGTCTGCGTGCGACCAAATATATATATAAATATATATGTATATATATATATATATATTTTGTGCATATTTTATCTACTCTTGTAATCTTGTTTTACAATCGCGCGTGTGGTGTGGATTATATAGATGCATCTTTCCACTCTAACCTTTGGTCTGCACTAATTAATTCCCTTATGACAGTACAATATTGAGTTTTCGTACTAAACAATTCCAATTAAAAGTATTTTTCATCCAACCTATTAATACATTTTGTGGGTTACTTTATTAAATTTTTGTTGTTCACTACAAACTTGTGCAGTAGAGGGTGATTTTTTTTTTTGCTTTGTGTTTATATAGTGATTTTAAATCTCAATAAATCATGTTTTGTGGTCTCAAAATAAAAATAAAATTACCAATTTCTTTAAGAAAATACCAAACATAGCCCATGGATATGAAAACTCAACCATTTATATTATATTTGTAATTTGAGATCAATTCATTAGTTAGTGCCTCAAATGTTGGGATGAAAACATCAATATACCATAGTGCAATAGGTCGGTCGAAATTATATTGTTTATTTTTTGAAGAAGTCTAAACTTTGATAAAAATTTTATACTAGATGTACTTATATATATGTTACTCATTGTACTAAATAATAACCTTTTCAGCATGTAGATACTTAAAGAGTATTTGTATGCTTTTGTGTCACTTAATAAACATTCAATATGGTTCTCTTCCAAATTATTTGATTTTTATTTATGTTTTGGGTTCACCATATTTACATTAGTGTGAAACTGATTGAAAGTAAACCTAACATATACGTAGTGTACCCATTTCCCATAATATACTTGCTGAAATTTATAATTAATATTTTGAAATTAGACTTGTAAAATTTGTACTATCACCAAACGGTTGAAAACTAATTGATCATTCGACGTGATACTCTATCTTATTCATTATCAAGACTAAAGAACCCCTCCAAATATTGTTAAAGGAGTTGAACTTTTGGTTTTCATTCTTTTTCTCTTTTTTTTTTTTTCCGTTTTAGGACTTAAGGCTATATTCGGATATAACTAACCGGGGACAGATAATATAATCGCCGTTATAACGGATGTTAACTCTAACGGGGCTTTTGAGCGTTATTTGTGATCAGTTACAGGAATGACGGACTTTTTTAGAGGAAGAGAAGAGAAACAATAAATGGTCAATAACCACGAAACGTTTTGGCCTTCACATCTACTTCCAAACCACCATTGATTTTTTTTATTTTTTTTTTCCTTTTTTGGACTTCGAAGAAATACAAAAAAAAAACAATAAATAAAAAATAAAAAATTAGACTAGAGGAAATGGGGCCACTGGGAAAAACTAAGGTGTAAATGCTTCTTCGGCATCTAGCTCTAGTGTCGGTGTATTTCACTTGCGCACTGTGCAGTCGAAGTTTTTCTTTCAGTCACGTGATATGGCGTGGATTGTTCAAGATATATACTCCTTCCGTTCCAAATTAAGTGTCGTTTTCGTAAAATAAAAAAATTTTAAAATAAGTGTTGTCTTCATATTTCAATTCGCTTTTTGTCCAAAGTTTTCAAAATTATCCTCAAAAGAATTAATACTATTGATGGATATTTTTTTAATAAGGTTAGTTGAGGATATTCAAGTAATTTTATTACCTTATTTAAGAGTTTCTTAAATTATGTGCAAAATCTAGAATGACACTTACTTTGGAATGGAGGGAGTATAAGTTTAATGATTTAATGATTATATGATATTTATGACGGAGTAATATATGTTAAAAAAAAACAATATTAATGCTACAATTTGCAAATGTGTAATTCTTGATGTCAACATGTTTTTTATTTTTTATTATGTTAGTTTATGACTTTATAACTTTTACAACTATTCTCTTCAATTTTCATTAGTCTCTCTAAATATCTCTACCTGTATTATTTCTTTAAAAAAAAAATCACTCCTGTAGATCCTACTTAAATGTAAGAAAAACTCCCCTATATTCGAATGAAAATGGATCCCTTGACCTCTAGAAGATCCACTAAGAGCCTTACATACCCGTGTCATAACTTTTAAACTCTCCCTCTAACAAAAAATTTTTACATTATTTATTTCCATAATCATATCTTTATTTTTCATATCTCAATATACCTTTTGCAACTTTTATTTGAAAGATTATTCGTATATTGTTCCTATTATATAGTGTTTAGATTTCATTTTTTACCTTTTACAATCTTTTTTAGAAGTTTGTTCATATATATACATATATATATTTCTTTATTATAGTGTTATTCTGTATCTTTTTAATATAGTGTTTGTACTTTTTTTTCCTTTAGAATAATAGTGTTTCCTTTTTTTTGGCATGGAAGTCCCTGGCAATATTAAAATTTCCTATCGAGGAAAATTTTTATCAAATATTTTCCGTGTGGTTTGGTTGCATATTTTTATCATTTTTTTTGTCAAATTAAGTTCCTGTCGATTTGATTGTAAATATATAATGAATTAAATTTTTATCTAAAAGGCAAAAAAAACTATGCAACTAAATTACCAAGGCATCATCAACGAATATAATTTTTTTTCCTGTTTTACACTTTCAGTGATATTAGTAACATTGGAAGTCGTGGTGATTTTTTCATATCATGCTCCACTCTAATTTACTTGAGAGTAATATAAAATGGAAATGGATAAATATAGTGCGGCTTTAATAAGAGATTCTGTGTCCTTTTAATTATTATGGTGGTAATCATTCGCGCAGTTAATGACAAAAAAAAACCGAGTAGCATTAATTATTTCTAAATTTTACGTATTTACAAATAAAAAATTATCATTAAATGATGAAGTGATGTGATTGTGACATGTGGACTGTACTCTCTACTTTTTACCGTGTACATTATCCTATCTAATCTTATGCTATGTATATGATTGAAAACTTTTCTTTAATATATATAGAGATATAGAAAGCCGAATTATCTGAATCTTTCTTAAAAGAGAAGTATTTTCAATTTTATTACAATCATAATTGTTACATAATTCGGAAAAACTGAATTATTCTGAATTGTTACAAAATTCGTGTAATTTTTTTTAATCTTAAACTGAATCATTCACGCTAATCAAGCTGAAGCATATCAAAGGGATATTAAACTGATACGGGTTTTTTCTCCCCAAACTAATACGGTTTACAATTATATCGATTAAAGCAAAAAAAATAGAAAAAAGGATATTAAACTAATAATATTTTTAAAGTAAGAAAAAACTCTCGAGCAACGACACTATCGGTATAATATGATCATTTTACTCAAGTTTATTTAATATTTTTACCCATGTAATGTTATATTCAACATAATAATATAACCTTTACAAAAAAACATAATAATATTATACTAATATACATAAATGCTACAATTAAAATATATCTAATAATTTCTAATTTATTAATGATAACTAAATATATTTAGTCTCAAATTATTTAATATTATAATGATTTTTTTTAATAACATGGTCGATTAGGGGTGGGTTTATTTATAAGGTTTGGATATATATTATTCAATGTTTTTTGGGGATATATTATAATTGTAATCAGTAGTTAGATTTGAAAAATACTCCGTTTCTTGATGATGTCCACAAGTTTCTAAGAAAATTAGAATAAAAACAAAACTGATAATGTTAATTGCTTTCCGATGATAAAGTTATAATTAATTTTCCTTCTGTTTTTTTTCCTTTGTAATAGTTTTACCTATAAATTTATAATTTTTAATAGTTTTTACCAATAAATTTACAGTTTTATATCAAAAAATTACCATTAAATGATGGAGCCGTGTGGTTGCGACATGTAGACTTAGTTATCTAATTTTTTGCCACGTGAATTAGCCTATCTAAATTTGCGCCATGTGTCTGACTGAAAACTCTCCTCTTATATATATATATATATAGATATATATATATCATGCATATGATTAGTTACAACATATTATCACATTTGCAAATTGCCATATAAAGAAATATCACATTCTATGAAAGAAATTGGTATGCATAATGCAAAATCATCCTTAGTTGTAGTAGCTTTGTTCTCTCAATGACAATAAGGCATACACAGAGAGATTTCTACCATGATACTAGTATGTTTTAAGACGTGATTTATGTTTTGTTATCCTTCTAACTATAAATTTTATTGGGATATAATAGGCTAAATGGACATGGTTAGAAATTTTTATTAAGATATATTCTTTTTGTCGAAAATTATTTTAGATGGATGAAGCAAATTTTTGTGTGACGAGATCATTGTTAATTGCAATTTACTTGTAAATGGTAAAAGCCTAACACTGATGTTAATTTGTTTTGACTACTCGATAACATCCACAAAAGCCAAAATGTACTCTTTTGTAGTATTCCCTTGTTGTGATTATGACCAACACTCAATATTATTATTGTTATTATTATTTTAGCTGGACATTAAATAGTATTAATATCTAAATTTACAAATATAAATTTTTTAAACCATACGAATTGATGTTAGGTAAATTTATCATTTTGGATGGAGAAATGGAGTTTATTGGGTTTCACGATCTATTAAATATCAACAAAATTGTCGTTGAAATAAAAATATATTTGAGATATTATTGATAATTGTCTATGTCGAAAGAAAAAAATAGTACAATATGAAATACAAATATGATAAGATTTATGAAAGTTTTTTAATGGGGGACTACTATGCATATGATCAAATTAAGGAGATGATTATGGAAATAATTGAAATTTATTTTAAAAATTGATATTTCATTTAACTGCGTAAGAGAAAATTTATATTTAAGTAGCATATGGAAAACTGGCCTTTTTTTTCCCCTTAAAAACTTCAAAACCAGTGTACTATATCTACCATGAACCAGTTCACAGGATAAATTGCCACAAACTTGAGGCTCAGGAAAAACTAGAACAATAAATGGCCATTTACTAATCAAGTCTTTAAAGACAGAAGAAGAAAAACATTCTGGATGGACTGTTGTCTATTCCCAAAACCAACATATTTATTTTTCAATTTCACTCCAATAAACAAAAGCAAGGTTCGTTTTCAATCATCGAGAAACAATTTATGGTCATAGAGCTCAATTTTTGACCCTTTCATGTTTCCTAGAATCATCATTTATTTATGTCGCTCATTGCTCGATCGACATACTCCATTTACATTAAATAATTAACAAAAACTCCCTCCGTTCCATAATTATTGTTCAGTTTGGGTTTTCATTTTTAGTTCAAATTGTACTAAAAGTTAAATATCAAATTGGACAATAATTTTAGGACAGAGGGAGTATTTCCGTTCAAAAATAAGTGTCATTTTAACAAAATGAAAAATTTCAAAATAAGTGTCGTTCTCACATTTCAATGTACTTTTCCTCAAAAGTTTCCAAAATTACCCTCAAAAGAATTAATACTATTGGTGGATATTTTTTTAATTGGGTTGGTTGAGGATATTCAATTAATATTATTACCCTATTTAAGAGTTTTTTAAACTATGTGCAAAATCTAGAATGATATACTTATTTTGGAATGGAAGAAGTATCACTTCTGTTTATCAAAAGAAAAAAAAAACTGTTTTCTCTTTCGTACATATATATATATATATATATATATATATATATATATACACACACACACATGGGTCTAATTTAATATGGAAGCACTCAGTAGAAGAAATACATGATCTTAACTCTAATTGATGCTTGATATAAGGTTTTCTGATTTTTTTTTTTTGGTATTTAATTATTTTACTAGGTATGGCTAAAATGACTAAGTTAATTCTTTTAATTTTTCAAAATAACCAATTATAAGTAATACTGAAGTGAAAACATGTGTAATAGATATTATTTAAACAAGTATGTAAAAAATAAAAAATAAACATATTCTTAGTAGTACAGATTATCATTTTTACAATTTTTTAGTCGCGACAACAGTAATATGGGAGAATAAATGAAGTTTATGACATTCGGTCAGTAAGAAGGTTAAAAAGGGTTAACTAAGTAAAAACGAGTAAGATTAAATAACCCCTCACAGTCTGTCATGTGTGTAGACCTTCTGTATATTTTCATCTAACTTTTTGTATTTTCCTCCAATATCCACTTTACTACAATATATAATAGTTCCATTTCTTTGCCCAAAAATAAAAAAAAATAAAATTCCTATCACAGATAAACACACTGATTTGGTATACAATGTAAAAGAAAAAAGAATAATCTCTATTTTTGTGTTGATTCAGTTAATTTCGAAAGTCCATTTTGCAGCATTAAGTTCTCTCTTACCCCTTAATCAAAGGTCACATCTAGCAGTGTACATATCACTCTATGTTTCTTTTATTTGGTTAAAATAAATAAAATCGGCTAGAGTACATGAACTAGTAGAGAATGCAGCCAAGGGTTACTGCTCATTTCTACCATGTCTATTTAAAAACAACAATTGTAGTGTTTATTTTTTTTAAAAAAAACGAAGGAAGCTTTAGAGCTTAATTACAAAAGATCCTCTTAAGTGGAGGATACTCCTAAAAGATCCACCTCTATCTTGAGTGCAGTCAAGAGCGGCGGGGTTGACGATACTCATAATCCCTTGACAAAAGTAAAACCTAACTTAGCCAATGTGTCAGCCGACCCATTAGCCGGTCGGCGAACAAAGCACACCTCTACTTCCCATTGATAGTCAATGAGTTTAAGGATCCGTCTAATAAAATTACTTGATGAGGGGTTTAATAGGGGGTAGAGATTTTATTGACCGCTTCTAACGAGTCCATCTCTAAGATAACTCTTCTAAAACCCAATCCCAAACAATTGTAGTATTTATATAACAACAATTGCAAACTTTATAAAAAAAAAATATCGTTCTAAACTTATTATTCATTTTAGAAAAGATAGTAGAGAAAAAAAAATAATTACTTCAAATAAATTGAATGATGGACAAATAACGGCTGACGGCCGGAATGAGTCGGAATTCGGAAGTTTACATACAAAATCACCCTAAAGTACTGATCAACCGTTAATCTTTCTTTGGTTTGTGACTGGTTTCTTAACCTGCGCTAAGTGCTAACTCTCTAGAAGAGACCTGTTATTTTTAGGTTCAAGAGTCAATGGCTCAATGCCTTTCTTTCTCTGTGTCAAAAAGTGTTACTTAGACATTTTTCTTACTTACCGTGCGTAAGGTAATTTTAAATAAACACATACGAATCTAGTTTACACTTTTACATTAATATGGGCTTGATCCCGAGTTTGCCACCAAAGTCAACATGCTTTTGTTCCCGTCCTCATAAAGTTGGCTGCTTCTCATCATCAATCAACCAATACGGATATTAGAAGACTGAACACCCGATCGATTCCGGAGAAAATTGGATTCATATCACTTCGTCAATTTCGGGCGCGACCCTCGCAAGTGGTCAACTTTCCGTTGACTGACCGATTCTTCAATTTTGACTTATACAACTTCTCCAGTTACATCAACGTCACCAGTCACGACGCTTTGCGGAAAATTATGCAAAATGAAAAAGGAAAAAGAAAAAAAACAAGAGTCAATTAATTTCCAGCTCTATATTGTTTTGGTGTCTTATTTTAATATTAAATTGCTCTCTTCAGTCTTTAACTTGAAAATTCACAGTTACGTACATGTAAAGTCAAAGAAAATGACTTTGATAAAAAAAAAAAAAAGAAGAAAGAAAAGAAACATCATAAGAAGTAATAATTCATGAGCAGAGACGAAACTTGTGTATGTTGTGTGGAAATCGATGAGTACTTTTTTCAATGTAATTTATCTTCTTTTTTCTTTCTTCATTTGCCCTTTATTTATTTATTTATTTTTGCAGTTTTCGTCAAAAATAACAAAATTCATATATAGAAGTATGAATTAATTTCACATTTTTACATTTACCTAATTCAGAATTTCTTTTCCTTTACTTTTAATTGGAATTGAGTTTTCGAGACTATATAAATATGAATTAACGTATTAATTGTTAACAGCCATGATGTTCACTAGAAATGGTGAGTAATTGGTGGTAGAAAAAATAAGTAAAAGTTGTAATCAAAACATGAATTTGTTTTACTATCCAAGCGTGTTCTTGGTGAAAACCAGAATCGCAAAAAGCGTGAATAAGAACACAGAACAAACAAAGCCTCTACTTAACAGAGGTCAAATGGTACCTTTTTCAGAAGCTAGCTTGGGATTTTGTTAGTAGTTACATAATTACATTTTACAATGATTGTTTTTAATTGTTTTGTTAGTGTTGAAATGTAATGACTAAAGACACGAACTTTGTAAAGTTTGGTGGACTTCAGTCTTGTCATCCCTCTCGAAAAAAAATAATAATAAAAATTCAACTTAAAAAATGCTAGTCTATTCGTAAAAAATGAATATGTAAAATTAAATAGAGTATCATTTCTGCTCATCAATTTTAAAATAAATTTTAGAGCATATAATATATCTCATAAATACAATTTGAGATTTTTATTTTTACAATTAAATTATTGTTATGAGACGGAAGTAGTACTCTTTTCCTGTATAAAAAAAAGTGAAAGAATTAACATGGTTTATTTTTTACGAAATACTAAACTTCAAATTTTTTCATTCAAGCAAACACAGGAAAAAGAATACAAATCACAATTTTACAGCAAAAAAAAAATAAAAAATACCGGAATAAAATCTAAAATTCCTTCTTTTTTATTTTTCTTTTAAAAAATCTAAAAGTTCCTGTATCTACCTTGCTTTACCATCCATGAAATAAATGGGCCAGGAGAAAACATATTTCCTACGATTGTACATAAAACCCAAAATCAATAACAGAAGCCCACTCCACACCACAGAAATCAGTCCCCGCCGCTACGCTGCCGTGAAACGCCGTCCACCACCTCAACAATGTCTCTTCTCCACCACCACCACCTCCCCACCATATCCTTCCTCTTTAAACCCACTCCCAACCGCACAACCCATTTCCCCTCCGCCACTTTCTCCAACACTCCATTCAAGAAACTCAAACCCACCGTTTCCCCCATTTATTCTTCATCTTCTTCTTATTACTCTTTCAACGACCCTTCTAAACCTCCGAAACCAGAATCGTCTTCTCCGCCGGAGGATGGAGCATCAGAACCCAACCCTACGATTGTGGACGAATGGGGTGAGAAGACCGAACCCGAACCCGAACCGCTGACGAGGTTTTCTAATCCGGATCCTCCGGGGGAAGAAGCGGAAGACGAATGGGGTGGTAAAAATGATGAGTTTGGAAATGGGTCACCCGGTCTGGGTGTTGATGATGGTGAGAGTGAGAAGCTTGGGTACTTGAAGAGGGCACTGGTGGATACGGTTTATGGGTCGGACTTCGGGTTTCGAGCTTCCACGGAAGTTCGTGCCGAGGCACTTGAGCTGGTTGCTCAGCTGGAAGCTTCTAATCCCACTCCGGCGCCGACTGAGTCACCGGAGTTGCTTGATGGAAATTGGGTTCTAGTGTAAGTTAAATTTTCTTTGCTCTTTTTTCTTAATTGCCTAACTTCATTTGTATTCCATAACTGTATGCTTAACTCTATTTTAGGAGTGATGTTTGGATTTGTAGGCTTCCGTGGATTTAGTTTTTCCTTGGAATGTATAGTGCTAGACAAATACTGGTGAACTGATTAAATGAAGAGATTTCCACATTTCGGAATTATATTGTGAAATTGAACTGGTTTTGTTCTACTGTCACTGGTTTTAGTTCCCATTTGTACATTGCAAACAAGATTTTTAGATTTTTTCAATGCAAATAATATAACCAAAAGTAAGTTGTTACATTTTCAAATTCAAAAACCAAAAACTTACCTAAAACTAGAACCCTATCATACAATCCGATTTTTCCCATGCTGATATCCTGAATGACATTAGGTTTTTTTTGGCTAATGTGCAGTTTGGTTGTATTTTGTACTACAAAATTTATTGATTTTTGGTGTAACAACTGTGTATTACTTATTTTAGGTACACTGCATTTTCCGAGCTGTTGCCTCTTCTGGCAACTGGTAGCATACCAGGGTTGAAGGTTGAGAAGATAAGCCAATCAATTGACTCTGGCAGCCTAACCATTGATAACTCTGTCACGATATCTAGTCCTGTTGCATCAATCTCATTTAGTGCCTCTGCTGCTTTTGAGGTAAGAAGCCCCTCGAGAATCCAAGTTCAGTTCAAGGAAGGGACCTTCAAACCTCCAGAACTCAAGTCAAGCATAGATCTACCGGAAAGTGTCAATATTTTTGGGCAAAACATCAGTTTGTCGCCAGTGCAACAAACCTTGAATCCTTTGCAAAATGTCGTCTTTGGTATTGCAAGTTCTCTTTCTGGCCAGCCTCCTCTTAAGGTTCCAATTCCTGGTGAGAGGACAAAATCATGGCTGCTAACAACATATCTAGACAAGGATCTTCGTATATCAAGAGGAGATGGGGGTCTGTTTGTGCTGGCTAAGGAAGGGAGTCCTCTTCTAGATCAATAGCCTGATGAGGTATAGTTAACTCTTCGCACATAAATGCCTCAAAGACACTCTCACTGTCGCATTATTTATTTTTGCCAAACTGCACTGGATGTATCCTTGTAGGGTCTGCCGTTTGTAAGTTTTAAGTTGAGAGACCCCGATATGTTCCTTTCTTTGTGATTTAATCTGCTGGGTGTCGTATGAAGTCGGTTAAGTAGCCAGGTGTAGATATTGTGAATGGAATTTTGTACTCTCCTAATACAACATAAGGTCATCTTAATTATGTAAAAAGAATTTATCTTATACACAGTATATAGTGTGTGAGGATGCCAGTAAATATGTTTTCTTTTGGATTCCTGAATAGTAAGGTCTGGGTGGAGAACTTGCCTTTTAGCCAATACAGTTTTGCATTACTAGTTCACTAGAATGCATGTCTGTCAAAAGCAGTTCCTTAGTATTTCTATTGCTGGTGATGGAGACAAGATGAAAGAATGAGTAGATTCCATTCCATTAGAGACAATAAAATCAAAATATTTAACCATTAGGTGATTTAAAATTGAATTACAGAAAATTTTCTTTGTTGTTGTGTTTGTGGACTGTAGGGTAAATGTGAATTGGCTTGCATTACATTGACAAGTTTTAAATGTAAAACTTAGATGTATTGGTGTTCTCCATACCATGTGGTTTTAGACTATTGCAAATTTGAGGAATACCGATAATGCTCCGCATTAGCTTCACAGACTACCTACGAACTTGAATAAAAATGTAAGATGAGCAAAAATGAGATGGTTGACGACATAGTGGTGGAAATACAAAAAGACTGAACGGAGTAAGTAATGAAATAATGAATACATTAAAGAGAAGTGAAAGAAACACCAACATATGAGAAAATAAGAGAGAATGCTTAAGTCAATGCTCTTGTGAATTCAATTTGAAAAGGAAGTGGGAAAGGCCTAAAAGGTACCAATAGATAATATAAAATGACATGATATTTGTAAAACTCGAGGGGTATCTTTGTTTGACAAGGTATAGCGGCAAGGTTTATTCATACTGCTCATCCGGCAGATTGAGTGGCGAGTTCTAGTCATGCTGCTCATCCAACAGCAATACACAAAAAGCCTTAGCAATTGGAGTTTCATTCTTATCATTTTAAATTAACATAATTACCTATGCATTTCACATTGAGCATGCAACAGGAAGGAAAGATGTAGTACTCCCCAGCCCCCTGAGCAGTGTATGTTTTGCACTTATGAAACCTGAGTTGAAACTGAATCGTCAAGTTTTGTTTATTGATCTGTATTAGTTATCCTCTATCCATAATCATTATTTTTAGATACAAACGCATAAGTTGAACAGGCTAACTTTCTTTTCAACTTATACCTTAACATCTTGACTATAAGCTGTAAGATTATGCCTAGAAGTGTTGAAGGTAGAACTGTAGGTATTTATGCACGTGCAAAACAAGTAAAAAGAGTATAGGAATCAGAGATCTAATTATGGAACTTGAGACGAGAGCATCAGTCTTAAAGGATCCAGGAGCTTCTAAGATGAGGTAGCTAATCCTCAGACTGCCACATTTTGTTCTGGGCAAAAAATCCTGAAAATGCATGTATGTGGAAGACACTTCCTTAAAAGGATGTACAGGATTGATAATATGCAATTCTTGGATCAGCAACTGAGTACTCTTGCTTAGTTTTATCAAAGAAATTTGTTCTCTTCGGTTGTCATCTGAACAACTTTGTTGATCTCACCCGAGGTTTCCACCAATAAATCAGGTGCAATGCATCAAAGATTGGACGTGTTTACGGCAATTTGGAAGCAGTTTAACACCTGCCATTCCGAATCTTCTGAAGAATCACACCCTTTCAACAAATATTTATCTTTAGGGAAATTACTGTTGTTATATATGGTTCAGATATCCTAGCCATGTTGAAGATATTGCTAACGCGCCTCTTGCGGTTTTGGTTGGGGAACCCTATGTAAATCCTCAATTGTTACAGAGTGACCCGTTAAAGTTTTTGTACAAGTATATGATCTGAAAATGAATGCAAGTCTTGTATATCCTTGGTTGTGGTTTGCCCTCAATCAGCTAGTTCGACAGAAAACCGAGGAGGCATAAGTTGCTTCGAATAGTATGGATGAATGGGAAAAAATCTTCTTACTACAGTTACAACTTGCACCAAATACTGTGAGATATCCACATTTTCTTCTGGCTTAATTAGATTTCCGAAGTAAGAATGCTTATTCGTGCCCCTTTTTCTTTTTGCACACTTATGTTTTGTACCTTGATACCCTTTAGATGGCCAAATCTTTATTGTTGGTTATATAGAGTTAAAAAGAACGAACCATGACCTCAGTAAACATATCGTATGAGTTCGTTTTTTTTTTATTTTTTATTTTTTTTTTATTGGGTTTTTTTTATGACAAATTGTAACAATACAGTTGATTCCGTGATTCAGTGTAACGACTGAAGTTAGGTAAACAAATACTGTAATTGATGCCACATAAATCGCAACCTATCTTCTTAGGACATCTCTTGAAAAAAGAAAATTATTTAGAAATTTTGGTTAGATCGAGCTAAAAACTATAAAATATCACCATCTCGTCTGACAATGTAGACTAATTAAACTGATGGGGTGATTTCATAAGACAATGCTTCCGGGTAGAAACTGCTCGGATGATCTATTATTCTGGAGCTAGTGACATTCCGACTTCGGTGTGCCATAAAATTCACTAAGTAGTCAGATGGCATCGACCCAATTGCACGTTTCAGAGTAAACTATTAAAATGAGATCAAAAGAATATATATATATATATATATATATATATATATGTATATGTATAATGTATGTATATGTATAAAAGGGGACACAAGATGTCGTATGTACAAAACACAATACGAAATGGTTGGTGACTGATGTATTAATTTGGATTCTCCAACTATACATCTCTTTCGATATTGTTACAAACGTGTTATTTTAGGCATAACTATTAGGACAATTGAAAATAGTTAAGCCACACTAATCAACAAAATTTCTGCAAAGACTTACTGAAAGCGAGGCTATTGATCCAAAGGGAATTTAAAAAAACAGAGAACTGGTTGGAAAAGTTCATGGTCGATGGTACTTCTACCATTAAAAAAAATAAAATAAAAAGAAGGCCATTTATATTTATTTATTGTTATCTCGGCTATTGTTGGGTCTCCTAAATTTCTAGTTTTCCATAATTTCGTCAGGTAAAACAAATGTTGAGATTGTGGAATCATGGGAGTTGAACTATCATCATTATCAAACAAACTGAAAAGCAAAAGCAATCTGAATCCGTAAATTTTGATCATAAGATTGAACTAGGTTTCATTCTAAGGTTCCACATACGATACTCCCTCCTACTTGGAAAATAATACATACTTTAGTGAAGTAAAATACTATACCACAGTAAACAATTTTTTTTTTGGAGTGGCAACTTTTCTCATTAAAATCAATTCTTTCATCAATACTGCACTCGATTTAACTCTTCCATTCATTGGTGTAGTGAACAATTCACAACTCAATTCTAAATCTAATGACATTGCCCAAGTAGTAAAGGCTCAATGCAACCCGGATGTTACTGACGGTTCAATTTACAACAAGAGCACTTTAAACACTCCTTGTTGCAGGGAGGTACCCAGCAGATATTTCACAATACCGGTTGGACGAGCGGGAAAAGACATGAACGTTTAAAGCCTCCCACAATAATAGTAATGTCTCATGTCTCGGTAAACTTCATCCATGCAATAGGTTAGTGGCTTGTATTACCTCTGTCTAATTTAGGAATTCACTTTTAATATAATTAGTACGTGTCACGCGCTTTGCGCGGGTTTGTCAATGTTGAAAATTTATCTTCCAAAAGAATTAATTAGATAATGTAGTTATTAATATTTCTTAAACCGTAAAATTTTTTTGATTAATCAATTTTAGATCAAAATGAGAGGTATTGATATTATTTATGAGATGTATATTTGTAAGATCTGGCCAAAAATATTACAACAAAAATTTTGAAAAATTGTATAATAAAAATTGTCACCACTAACTAATGTTATGTTTGGATTAAAAAATATATTAAAAAATACGTCAATTATGTCTCGATGCCTATGACTTATTTATAGGCAAGGGGACTTTGGGGATTAGACACAATTAATCGTCCTTGAAAATGTAAAATCGATAAAATTGAAAACAAAATAGCACATAAATAGAACATTAAGGGCTAAAATGGTAATAAGTTAAAAGTAATGCTTGATGGTCTCAATTAGCGACACGTGTCGATTATCTTTATTTTTTTTAATATATATAATGATTTGAATTAAAAACAAAAATTCAATCTAGATAATTGGGAGTATATTAAAAAAGAATAAAATACAAAATGAAAACTAAAGCAAGAAGGAGACACTTGTGGATTAAGAAGTCGTTTTGTTACTATTCGCTTCACCCCAAAATGATTGTCTAGTTTGGATTTTTATTTTTTAATCAAATCTCTATATATATTAAAGAAGAGTTTTCAATCGGACACGTGACGCAAATTTATATAGGCTAATCCACACGGGAAAAAATTAGATAGCCAAATCTACATGTCACAATAACATCACTCTATCATTTAATGGTAATTTTTTTTAATGTACAATTATAAATTTAAAGGTAAACTAAATTAGCCGGAGATTTCTCAAAATTAAATTAACTTATCTTCTTTCATGCCTTTTTTTTTCCCTAAAGAAATCTTCTCTCTCTTCCTTTTTTTTTGTTTAATTTGTCTGCAGAACTAATCCGTTGATTTTCTTTGTTAAAACCAAAATAAAAACTAAGTTAAGGGCACCATTATCCAGTTGTAAATTTAAATCCACAAACGCATGATTATAGATTGTATAGTGCGTGGTACAATAATGAGCTTTCTATCAATGAAGAAAACCTAGGGATTGGAAAATGATTCCCTAAAGCTGTAGAGATGGCTTCAATAGTTTGGTACCAAATATATATGCAATACATGCTTTTATCATGTAATCTTTTCTTTATTAATAAATTCAAATTTCAAAAAAAATATCCTTTTATATCGTGTCTTCAGTTTGAAAAATAATTAATTAAGAGATCAGATGATTCTTAAATAACTAATTTTATCCAATTTAATTTTATTCATTAATCATAAGAAAATTAAACTAATATGAAAGGGAGTCCCTGTCATCACCTTTAACACTACGAAGAAAATGGAAAAAATAACTTATTTGGAAAATTTAAAATCACCACATGGAGAATAGTGTTTCACCTTTAACACTACAAAAAAGAAAAAGATAAAATTAAATATCCGAAAAAATTATCTTTCGTATATAAACCCTATAGATAAATATAAAAAAAAGTTGAGATAATATTGAAAGATGAAATAATTATAACAAACTTTTTAGGATAGGAAAAAATAAAGACTAAGCAAATAAAACAAAAAAAAATACTGACGTAAACACTATGTTATAGAAAAAATATACGAAAAAACTTCTAAAGAAAGTTTGGAAAACGTATAGAGAGATAGAAAATAAAGATATGTTTATGAAAAATTAAGTAAATACTTTTCTTTTCATTTTTTGTTTTTAACATCTTGCAGTACTTAAGACTTACCAGTTTACAAAAGAGTGGTGATAGGTAACAAGGAAAAAATGACAAGAAAAAAACACAAGGAATTATGTGTTAAGATCTTAACTATGCCCTAACCTTAAATGCATAAATCCTGTTTGGAAAGTTTTAACAATGGATGAGTGAGATCATTTCCTTATAATTTTTTCTAGTCATTTTTTCCTTGTACCAATCATTATCCTTTACAAAAAGAGAGAGCATCTTACCTTTAAATAAGGAAAAAAAATGTCATATCTAAATGTAGCTTACTTTTTACAGATTGAGGAAGAATATGAGAAAGATTCAGGACCATCACTCAATAGGCTTTTTCTCTTTTGGCTATGCTAGGTCTTTCTATTCCAGTAATATCGAATCCTATGGCTTTTCTACAAGTTTAGTGATCGGGTGGGTACTTTTCCAACAACTCTTAAATCGCCTATATGGCAGTCCTATCTTTCACAGCTTGAAAAATATGAAAAGTGACGAAGCATGGATTTGTACGGTGCTTAGGACGGGCGGCGATGATGATCTAGGCGGCGGCGGACAGCCTAAAACCTGCAAGACAGAGCCTCGGGTGTCTCCCGAGGGTAGACTCTCCGATGCTTAAGTCAATAAGAGAATAGGGATAATAGAGAGAGAGGGATGTGTATCGTGTGTAGAAGGTGTAGAATATAGGTAGAAGATATGAATTATAAGAGAGGCACCACTCTTTATATAGAGGTGGGGCTACCTGTTTCCTGAAATCCTAGCGGAATAGGTTTAGGCCATGGCTTAATCTCCAAGTAATCTAATCCTAGGCCCAATAGGCCTAAGGTTAATTTATGACTCGTCAAGTGCCCCTACCAAGCCATATTCTCGAGACTTGATGAGAAGAATATGGATTGCTATGAGTGTTGATGTTTCCTCGAGTTTCGTAGTGTTGCCCCAGTTCTCGAACTCTTTCATTCTCGGGTGTCACCTATATAAGATAAAGAGAGATAGAATGCCCCAAGGAGGTCTCTGTGTTAGAGAGTTCCTTGGTTGCGCAGTGGACCGCGAGTATCCTTGTTTGCGCGGTGGACCGCGAGTGTCCTTGTTTGCATGGTGGACCGCGAGTATCCTTATTTGCACGGTGGCCCACGAGTATCCTTGTTTACGCGGTGGACCGCGAGTGTCCTTATTTGCGCGGTGGACTGCAAGAATCCTTTTTTGCGCGGTGGACCGCGAGTGTTTGGATCATCAAGATGAAATATTATATAATAATGACATATAGTGTAAGATGCTCGTGAAGAATACTAGTCTAGCAGAGGATGTTAGGATGATCCCTCAAGTTCCTTGCCCCTAGGGTCTTCCCAATTTGTGCCCCGAGTATGTTTTCCTCATTGAAGGTAGTCTCGAGGTGATTTTCCTCATTGCAGGGTAATAGGAATTTTTCCTAGAGGTTTGGTTCCTCGAAAGATTCTTTTGATCGTGCTAAAAAAGATATTGTGATATGATGGTAGTAATATACTAATGATATCAGTAGATGATAAACTTAGATTCGAGAAGCATATTAGAAAAGGTTTGAGAAGTACCTCAATCTCGAGAGAAATTGACTACCCGAGAAGGTGTTACCTCGATTCTGAGAAGGTAGTTGTTGAGTAGATAAAAGTCATTACCTCGATTCCGAGAAGGTAGTTGTTGAGTAGATAAAAGTCGAAACACATCTTCTCGAACACTTCGAGTAGTAGTATGGTGCTCGAGGGATGCATGCCCCTTCGAGGAGATGTATCTCTCAAAACTTTAATATTAGAGATTGCCTCTT